AAACTAATATTGAAACTGTAAAAAACAGTTTCATGTATTCAGTAATGAGTAATGACAACTTATAAGCCATACATTTTCCGATAACGACAGAACGCTTGTGTAGCCTTTAGTCGCTCTTAGTGACTAATAATTTTTTTTTTTTAAGGGGGGGGGGCAAAATAGGGGGGAAAAAAATATTTGGGGGGGGGCATTTGCCCCCCCCTTGCCCCCCCCCTGGCGCCGCCACTGACTGTATTCCATCCGATCATCTATTTTATAACAGATGATCATGAGTGGATTTCTCCATTAAAAACCCACATTGGTACCCTGGCCCAGAGGTTTTTTAAATACCCTCTGGTTCCAGGGTATCACATTGGTTCCTCACTCCTTATAAAATATTCGGAAATTTTACACTTTACCGTACCGGAGTAATCACTGAATACATACGCTATCAAAACACTCCAATAAAAGAACGGAAAAACCGTCAGAACACACGCCCATCATTAATACTTGCGGTACGGTAGGCCCTGGGATCGAGGTTGGGTACGGTAAAGTGTAAAGTACCGACAAATGGAAATTTTACACTTTTATATTCTCCGATCTGACTCAAATTAATAGTCTATACTCGAGTCTATACCAAAAATATCCGGATGTTTGGACATTCAGGGCGCGAGTTACGGCGTTTTAAAAATATTGTTTTTGCTTCTACACATGTGGAAATGAACGGGTCCATTTTTTGGAAAGTATGAAAGACTAAAAATCTGGATAAACACGAACGCCCCAATCAGCCAACCATATCAAACTTTCTGATCGAAAGGCCTTCGTAGTTCGTTCGAAACCTGGAAACAGTTTCTATATTTCAAACAACCTCGTGAATCACTAGAACCCAACACTCAAAAACTTTTAACTATACTTTCAAAAATAAACACCGAGCTTTAATATTTATAAAGGCTAATAACGGTTGTTTGCTGAGCATTTTACTGATTCATAATTTTTCGACTCTATGCGGGTTCACGCCCGTGACGGCCTGTCATTTGTATCGGTCACAATCTACTTACCAAATGGCTGCAAATTTCCCATCGTTTTTTCTCAGAAGGTCATTGCAATAAAACATTTTAGATCAACACCACACACTTTCGACTTCGCTTGAACAAAATATAATCAGACGAACTATGGGCTTGAACTGCAGTTTTTCAATGTTCACACTAAAAAAAAAAACATTGAAAAATAGCAGATTTAGTAAAAGATTACGGTAAAGTATCATAGTTTGAAGATAGTCTAAAGATCTGTTGAAATTTTCAACTACAAACAGCGAAAAGAAGAAGAAAACTTGCCTTTTCTAGCACAACAAACAAAATGGAACGTTTCAGTTCCCGCGCATATTTTTTATTCCAGTAACGCCAACCAATGACATAGCCACAAAAAGTCTACTGGCGCGAAATTAAACCCCGTGGGAATAAAAATTACGTGAACCACTGAAGCCCGTCTGAAGGGCCACTGATCGAGAATTTGAAATAAAAACAATAGTGACTCCGAACATAGAAAACATTTCAAAATTGTTTATTATGATTTCCATAACCTACAAGGATGAAGTATTTTACTATTAAATCTGTTTCGTGAAAGTCCAGTGAAACTAGGTCAATTCCACTGGTCAATCCAGCTAACTTCTACTTGCTTCAGGTCAGTGTAAGATTTGACCTACCGAGCCCGCGATTACCTCCGCTGGACAAAAGCACAAAATGTAAACGTAGTAAATTCACAAAATATTTTGTTACTGAAAATACGCAGAAAAATACCAAAATATTTATCTAATACTTCTTATACAGTACTGACAAACTATACCAACCATGGTTTGGAGCAATTTGATTAAAAAGGTATGTGTTTGTAACTCGATATGATGCAATATAAAATGATGGCATGATGCTATCAGTGCTATATTATTATAAATGCTACACAATATACCTTATTCTTTTAATAATATTGCGATTTGCTCTAATATGCCTTACATTGATCAACAGAAGACAGTTTTACTTGTCAATATGGGTTTTCTGTATATTTATTATTAAAATTTAAACCATTCCTAAGTTGGCTTCCCCCTCTCCAATATTTAACCCCCACCCCTTCTCCAATAACCCCCACCCTGGTTTAGAGAAGGAAGCTAGGAATCCCAACTCTTCCACCTTCACAGCAAAGAAATGCTTGTGTAATGGTTATCAATATATTTTTAGGGCCTTTCCTTGAGGTTGTTACAGCCTGCTGTCAAGAGAAATTTTTGGAGTTTTCCAGGAAAAGCAACATTTTCAAGTTTGGCATCAGATGTCACGCTTGATCGCGTAGACTTGAGGTCGGCACCATTGACAACACTGTCGGAAGATGAAGAGATGATGAGAGATACTGGTAATGGAATATACCAAACATGTTTCAATCACTGAGCTAGTTCAATAGACAACGGGGTCCACTTCTGTTTCATACTCAGGCACCCTGACACAGAATAAACACACTCAGATTGTTGACTAAGCCACAAAATAGGAAAGTATAGCAGAAATGTAACTTGAGTCGGTGTTCACGTCCACAAAAATTTTAACTTGCTCACACCATCCTGGCTAGTACAGCCGGAAGTTTTTATTAGGTTTTGGTAGGTGCAAAGTGCCGGTTGTACTAGCCAGGATGGCGTGATTGATGACGAATCGCTTGTAAAAACACGGACAAATACTTGCTCGAGTTACACTTCTGCCGTACCTTCCTATTCTGTGACTAAGTCAAAATAGTGTAATCGCTGCCACGCAATGATTCGTCAGTGATTCGGGTCCACAATTAGCTGAGGAATAGTGAGGGCAGTGGAAATTCTAATGAAATGTTAGGGTATACGTGTTAGGTTTTGAAACTAAATACTAAATTAAAAATGCCAGTATTTAATTGAAATCTTGAAAATGCTCCTGTACAAGTCTGCAAGTGGTGCTCATGAACTTGCACATTTTCATGATGCTGATATGATAATAACTGTTACAACAACTCTGTCATTTCAAATTTCAATTTGTAAACCCTTTTTGGCATCCTTGCTTTTCAAATGAAAAAAAAAACCCTGTGTACAGTATATATAGTATATATAAATAGTTCAGTATAATTCAAGTTGGCTGAATCAGCTAATAATTTTGTGTTTTAAGTTGCAAAATTTGCTGCTGAGCAGATCTTACCATTAGTTAGTGAAATGGACAGGAAAGGTGAAATGGACAAGGACCTTATTCAAGCAATGTTTGATCAAGGGGTATGATTGTCATCATCATATGTATATCAATTTTTATTGGAACTTTCTTCTACAGACAGATGTGAACAAGTAGATGAGTATAATGAATGTTCCAAGTATATGTACCCTCATCTGAACATATTTCTTAACTCATCCACTCATTCACATCCATAAGGAGAAGAAAATTTTACCTTATTAAATCCGAGCATAAGGCCACTCAAAGGCACATAAAATTTACTGACCAAATCTGGCCTATTAACTACTGTCAATGCTCATTACAAACACTTTGAAACCTTAGTCCATTTTCTTTGATATGAAGCTTATGGGTGTTGAAATTGAGGCAGAATATGGTGGAACCAATTCAACATTCTTCAGCTCTATTCTTGTGATAGAGGAACTAGCAAAGGTTGATCCTTCTATTGCTGTACCCTGTGACATTCAGAACACGTTAAATAACCGTCTGATCAGACAGCATGGCACAGAGGAACAGAAGAACTTGTATCTTCCTATGTTGGCTACATCAACAGTTGAGTATTCTTATTATACCTGTATGGTGATTTATATATACGGTACACACCTACAATCACATGCAAAATGGTTGAGACACTCAGCATACACATATTTTGTTGGCTAAATTTAATAAAAAAAATGATCACAAAAATTTATCGCTAAATCATCCAACACCCCCTGCCCTGTTCAATTTCAATGTTGTTTATCTAACTGGTGGTTTTAATTTGTAACATTACTAACATTGATTTGGGGGCTGGAAGGGGCGGGGGTGAATAATGATTTAATTCAAAACTCTGGTGAGGAATATCCAACTTCTAAAATTTTCCTCAAGTCATTTTTTCAGATCATTGCAACTAAGAGGGACTATACTGTAGGGATGGTCATGAGTTTAGCATGTGAAAGAATCTGTTCAAATTGGGCTTGATGCCGGTTTTATTGTGCAGTTTCTTTTTGTGTCATTGTCAACAACTCTCTTCTAGCGTGCTCTCAAAAAAGAAATCATCATTTTCTCTCTTTAATTCATTCTTGACTAAAATTAAATAAGAGAAAATGAAAGCAAATGTTCTGGTTACCACTGACGTTCATTCTTTCTCTCTCACAGCTATCGTCGTTCTGCCTGTCGGAACCCGAGGCTGGTAGTGATGCGTTCGCTATGAAAACAGTCGCTGAACAAAAAGGGGATTATTTTCTTATCAATGGCAGCAAATGTTGGATATCTAACTCTGCTGAAGCTGGCCTGTTTCTGCTCTTTGCCAACGCCTCTCCAGAAAAGGTATATACTATATAACCAACTAATTTATACAGATTTGGGAAACAAGCAATCCATTGTATACCAGTACCTGAATTTCAGCATTTGGGGCAATCTCACTCGATAGAACTATTATTATTGTAGAAGTATCTCTGGAATGACTGGTGATCCTAAAATGTGATCTGTTCCCACCCAATTCACATTTACAGATAACTCACCTACCTAGTTGCCACCACACTGTTCTGATAATCATGCACTGAGGGAAAAAGTGAAATATTCGTACTATGGAATTTGCAATTGCATCCATAGTATATCCATATTATTTCCATACTATATCCTAGTATGGAAATTGCAATTAATATGAAAATTGGATTTCAATACTGTTTTCAACGAAGATCCATACTACAATTTCCATAATAAGGGTTTTGAAAAAAATTTCCAGTGAATATACGTGTGAGCATATAATGGAACAAAGGTAACCAAATGCCGAAGAATGAATATCTGCTATTAAACCGATTACGTCTTTTTACCACATTCTATACTTTTAGTACCACATTCTATACTTTTAGACCACATGCTGTACTTTTAGTACCACATTCTATACTTTTAGTACCACAATCAGGAAATCTGTAAAAATTAAACCAGGTACGCAGTATGCACAGAATCTTTTCAGCGCTGTCTTCTGTTCAACATTTTAGGGTTATCGAGGGATCAGTTGTTTCGTTGTACCTCGCGATACAGAAGGTTTTGACATTGGTCCCAAAGAGGACAAGGTAAACGGAACATTAGGACATTGTCCTTTCATCGATTTTTAAAAATATATTCAAGTGTTTTATATTTGACGCCAGAGTACTTTTGTTTCAGCTTGGTATCAGGGCGTCATCGACATGTACGCTGAATTTTGACAATGTTAAGGTACTTTATTGTGTCTTTGAAACTGTTTATGTGTGGAACTTTCAAACGTCCGTCGTACAGGCTCGACTGTATATGACAAATATTTTTTATCCTTGAATTTTGATATTTCCAGATCCCAGCTAAGAATTTACTTGGTGAGCTTGGACAAGGTTACAAATACAGTATTGAAGTGCTAAATGAGGGCCGTATTGGCATTGGGGCGCAGGTACTGTATATATTAAACAAATTTTACAGCCTTGCGCTGCCATCGTTTTCATACCAGCATGATCTGACTTCATTCTTCTAGATGGTGGGACTTGCACAAGGATGTTTTGATCATACTTTACAATACGTTAGAGAAAGAAAGCAGTTTGGGCAGAAAATATGGGATTTTCAGGTAGGAACATTTAAAATCACTGTTTGAAAACGAACGTTGTTGGTATTAGCGGCAGGGTGCGGAAATTCGAGAATTTTCTGGTCATACCTAGCCTGCGCGCAGACTATATAATGACATATATATGTCATTATATAGTCTGCGCGCAGGCTAGGTCATACCCGACTGGTACTCTAATGACTACTGGTAGTTGTTTGGTACAAACTTAAGATGTACTTTAGTTACTCTTTGAAATGATGCATGTACATAAAGTACAGAACACTACAATCGACTCCAACATTCCGTAGTCCCATCAGTTCAGTCGTGTTTCAAGCCAACACATCTCTTGCGTACTGTACCTATAATATACCGTTACGTATACGGTTTTGAATACCTCGGGCTTGGTAAGGCGGTAAGGTTATATGGTACCAGCAAAATGCAAGTAGGCAGATTGCAAGAATTCCGAACCGGTATACTTAGTTCAAAAAAAAAAGAAGTACCAGACCATAATATGCCGTACCTCGGGCTCAGAATAAGAAGGTACAGCAGAAGTGTAACTCAAGCAAGTATTTGTCCGCGTTTTTACAAGCGACTCGTCATCAATCAGGCCATCCTGGCTAGTACAACCGGCACTTTGTGCCTACCAAAACCTGATAAAAACTTCCGGTTGTACTAGCCAGGATGGCGTGAGCGAGTTAAAACTTTCGTGGACGTAAAACAATAAGGGAACCGACTCGAGTTACACTTCTGCTGTACCTTCCTTCTTATTCTTGTGCCTCGGGTACGTAAGTACGCGATTTATCGCATCCTGTTGGCGGGTTTCATGGAGTGTTCGTGGGGGCAGAACATGGTGATCAACTTGGTCTTGAGAAACGTCGATATGTGTATTGTATTGGAGCAAGCAAACTTCTGCATTAACATTATTTTCTCACTCTAATAACTGCCAGTAAACCACCAAGTGCTGCATATTATGGTACTTAGCGAAATCAAGCGCAAACTCACCAATCTGTCTCAAAATGGGATTGACACAATTTATTCCAAATTCCATTGCAGTCGATGAAGCACCAGATAGCTTCCGTAGCAACACAGATCGAGGCGGCAAGAATGTTGGTATACAACGCGGCACGAAGACAGGAAGCTGGACTGTCTGTTGTTAAACAAGGAGCGATGGCAAAGTTTTATGCCTCGGAGGTATGTCTCTGAGTTGGATACGCAAAATCTCAATATTTATTACCCTGGACGTGTAAGCGCTGTCCCTAACTCAACCTTAGGTTTCCTCCTGTAGTAACACTAGACCAATAAGGGAGGACCTTCACTGATCGATATTGGAAGGAAACACACGAAACAGTCCAACAGTGTTTTCTAATAACCAAGGTGCAGTAACACTAGCCCAATTTGGGATGGCCCTTTCTGCACTGCACCCAAATTTGAAATAGTTTAGAACCGTGGATTTCACTCTCAACTTATTTTGTAGGTTGCGAGTATAACAACATCGAAATGTATGGAATGGATGGGTGGTGTTGGTTTTACGAAGGCATACCCGGTCGAGAAATATTATAGAGATGCGAAAATAGGTAGGTCCTCTTCTGGTCATGTTGGTGGATATTACACGGTTGCACCAATATTCTCTTTATGGATGCATGTAATCATCATTCTGATGAAAGTTCTTGATTCTCAACAAATTAACAATGACGTTGCAAGGCATTTTCCCAAGCACTTGACCATCAGGATAATAATTATTCTTTCTTTATTAGGTGCCGTTTATGAAGGTACTTCAAATATTCAATTGACAACCATCGCAAAATGTATGGATGGTGAAGGCTGAATTGAAGTCAGTCGATAAGAAATGAATAATCAAGAAATATTATGAAAATAACTTAAAATGGACCACTGTAGCATGTAATGCAGTTAAATAGTCAGCTGGAATTACAGCGAAGTGGAGATGTAACGAGAAAAAGCAATGTACCATCAAATTATCTAACATAAGCAAGCGACGTTTTTGGCGCTATTTTGCATCATGGTGCTAGAGTAAGGAGGCAATGAAAATTTTTAAAATTCTTAGATTTTGTCGTACGTGTTGAAGATAACCACTGACACAAACAGTTTTTAATCCAGTCCCTCCTCGGCAATCTGACGTCTCAGCCTAGTCCCTAGGCCTCTTAGTACGCCTATTTCGCGTTTCTGCATGCACAGAGGACTAGGGACTAGTCTGCTGACGTATATGTCGACAAAAACGTCGCTTGATTTAACAATCTGTCAACTTGTGTACAGCTAGAGAGAAAAAAAAGTGTTTTAATACTTCCCCAAGAGGCAAATATTTCTTTTGCCACACTACAAAAATTGTAGTACGGTTCAATATTTATAATAAAAATGCGAAACGGTATTCTTTTCTGCTTTCCTTACACCATAATACGAACACAAAAAATAGTGGAATCTCCTCGATTGCGCAAAATGCGCACACCTTAAAGGCCGTTTTCCACTAGGTGGAATTTTTCGCGCGGAGCGGAATTTCTCTTTGTCTTGTGATTTCTCTGGTGGAACTAATTAAAAAAGACAAAGGGTAATTCCTCTCCGCGCGGAAGATTCCGCCTAGTGGAAAAGGCCGTTTTCCACTAGGCGGAATTTTTTCTTTGTCTTTTCTAATTAGTTCCACCCGAGAAATCACAAGACAAAGAGGAATTCCGCCCCGCGCGCAAAATTCCGCTTAATGGAAAACCGGCTTTAAAGAAGTCGTTCTACTTTCAAAAAGAAGGTGGTCACACAGGAACCATCTTCATTTTTCACATACGAATATATTTCTCTTTGGTCAAGATCCTAAATCTCACCCCCTTTTACCTAACTTTATTGTGCGCGAGACATCCGGATATAACCAAAAAAATCAAAAAGCACTTTACTTTCTCACAACACCCTAGCAAATTTCTTGCAAATCCAAAGGAATGAATACAACCCTGTAGACAGGAACGCGACATTTCATTGACATTTCTACAAATACAATCTAAGTTACACAAAACGACGATGATGATACATGCGTGTTCTTTTTACAGTGTTTTTCTGACTGACGAACATTTTTATCTTTACAATTTCCCCATGCACCGCACATCGAGCGAAATTTATTTCGACGCCATGCATTTTAAACAGAGAATTGTTCTCCGTTGCTTTTTTCGCCACCAAACACAAAGTTTTGGCTTTTTATTTTCATGTTTTCCCATGTAGGGATTGTTTTTTTGTGTTTAAGCACCAGCCTGAAACCCGCAGGCTGTACTCAATATCCCATTCCGCCTCCTTGCGGGCCTGCATTGTGAACGCCATTTGGTCCTTGTTGACCATTTCCTGGGCCGCCTTGATTTTGCATGTGTGGACCTAGGAGAAAAGGTAAGTACTTCATGTAAGACCCCAACAAAAACACTAACGGTTCTAAGATCATAGACGAGTATCAACCCTGACCTTAACCCTAGTTTTAAAATCTACTGTAACTATTTTAATTTACGTTTTAATTACTTCAAACTATTATGTACGAGTATGTATTCCTTGCAGTAACAAAATGTTTAAATCAATCAAATGGTGGTCAATCTGCAGTTATCTTAGTGAGAAAATCATTTTAGTCTTGTACACCGAGTACTGTAGGTATAATCTGACCCACAAAAAGGTCCACCATTTCCCAAAGTTACAAACATGAGATTTCAGTTCGAGGTCAAATAAACTGGTCTCTTACCTCCTTGGGGATAACCAGGTGCCATAGACATCATGTGTCTAAAAAAGATTAAAAAAATGTTTTAGCTGTGACCCAATATTAGGCAAAATGAACAAATTACAGGAACCATAAAATCACCTACCCGTATGGATTAGGATAATAATAGCCTGGCTGTGCTTGCATGTGCATGTATTGTGCTCCCATCTGTTGTTGTGAGTGTTGTTGGTGCTGCTGTTGTTGTTGGTAATATCCACCGTAATAGAAAGGTTGTTGCTGCTGTTGTTGATAATACTGTTGCATATTACCACCCTGGCCATCTTGCTCTTTACCCCATGAACACTAAAGAAGAAGACACTGGCTACAGTATTGTCTACACCAAGTTGATCTCATCAACTCACAAATGTTGATGCCTATAGTTACCACTTTTCTGATAATGAAGTCTATACATCCCAGTGAGCTCCAAATCAGGACTCAGATCCAACACGTGAAGTTGGCGGACCTTCATAGCTATTGGACGCCAATGGACCATTCCCCAATTAACCAAAATTTTGAACTCAACAAGTCTAGACAAAAATTTCATCATAGCTTGAAAGAGCATCACAAAATTAGTAATACTCCAAAGTTTCGTTGCAGAATGTTGTAAAATGCGGATAATATAGCCTTGCGAAGTTTGCAATTTTCAGTCATTTTAGATTACAAGCGGGAAATAGTTACCACTTCTGTGCGTAATACAAAATGACTGAAAATTGCAAACTTCGCAAGGCTATATTATCTGCATTTTACAACATTTTGCAACGAAACTTTGGAATATTACTAATTTTGTGATGCTCTTTCAAGCTGTGATGAAATTTTTGTTTAGGCTAGTTAAGATCAAAATTTTGGAAAAGTGGTAACCATTTCCCATTTGTAATCTAAAATGACTGAAAATTGCAAATTTCGCAAGGCTATATTATCCGCATTTTACAACATTTCGCAACGAAACTTTGGACTATTACTAATTTTGTGATGCTCTTTCATGCTACGATAGAATTTTGTCTAGATTTGTTAAGATCAAAATTTTGGTTAATTGGGGAATGGTCCATTTCGCCACCTTGCCATCCTTCTCATAGGCAGAATGACCGAAGTTCTTACTCCAGATATATATATATATATAGAGAGAGAGCTCACTGGTGTATCCAGGTACTGAGGAGCAGAAGAACGCTCGAACCTCACCTTTAATACATTTCCATCAAGGTTCTCCCCATGCATGCCACAAATGGCTTCCGCTGCCCGGTAATGATCGTCGAACCTGAAACACATCGAAACGATCTGTAAACCAGTGTAAACAGAGACCACTGACCTCAAAGAAGACTGGATGGCGCACTGTTAAACAATAGGTTTTGATAGAGCTAAAGCATCTATAGTTCAAATTGCGTCTACCCACTTACGTTATAAAAGCATATCCTTTATCAGCTAGTACTCTGATATTCATTATATTTCCATACGTTTTGAATGCACCTGTTAGTCTTTCCGCTAAAAAACAACAGATACAGTAGTGTGAACAGTATGCTTTTGGTTATTGATTTTCGGAACTGAGAAAAAATCGCCGATCTCACTCACTACTCACCAGCAACTTGATCAGGGAGATTTCCAACATAAACAGTTTTATTATAAATACTAGTTTTGTTTATGACTTCATTCAGATCTGGTTTTTTCACTGAAAACGAGCAAGAAATAGACAAAAGGTCAAACATTTATACTCTACGATATTTTCATATCGCTCAATGGTTTACTCAAATTTATCATAGATTTTATGAACCGACTTCCACTAGTTATGAATTTACAGTTACTTTATTTTCAATTTCAATAAGAAAATCATGCCATGCCTGACAATCCCCACATACCGCTACCTTGTGGTGGCTGTGGCTTACGAGACGCCCAGTTTGTTCTGATCTGTTTACCATTCAGTGTTTTACCTGTAAAATATGGAACAACATGAAGCTCTCCAGTTCATTATGCTCATTATCATTGCCGGATTTTGAGGGGAGGTGCGCACCTCCCCTGAGATCGTTTTGCACCTCCCCTGGAAAGTCATGCACGCACTTCCCCTTGGGAAAGTTTCAATGATAGATCAAAGTGAAAATTTGACATTTTTTGGTTGGTTAGGGAGTTGGGGTCTAGACTTCGCAAGAAAGTTTTCCTGTAAAATTGAAACAGTGATAGCCATTCATCTGTGTCAAGTACCCTTTTAATGCAATGTTTTGAAAGAAACTTTGGAGTAATTGTAATGAAGGGTAAAATTGGATGAGTTGTACAGTGGAACACTGATACATATGTAAACTACTACTGTGCATGCATGCATACGTCACGTCGTTGACTTTAGCCCGTTCTAAGCGCGAACTTTCCATGGGGGGTCGTGACTCGTGAGCTAGACTGCTGCCAACCTCGTTTCCAGGCTCTGCTGCACCTCCCCTAATTTTTTTCTCCTCCCCCACTATTTCCACCAAAATCCGGCCTTGCTCATTTTGCTTTACATATACAGTCGTTTGTTTTCGCGGGATATGTACAACAGTTTGAATATGCGCTCTAGGTGATATGTTTAAAGGACATTGGCACCCAAAATTTTTATTACTTATATCTCTTAGGTATACTTGCGGAATATTTAATTTCATATTTTGGCCGGTTTGTCGCGTTTAGTTGATGAGAAAATTTGATAGAAAGTTCAACAGTTGTCCGCCATTTTGAAAATAAGCGCGTATGCTAATTTATGCCTCAAATACATTATCTGACGTCATTGGCTGGGTAAAAACAATTTCATGACTATAAACAATACCGAGTATTGCCACGCGTAGTGCATTTGAACCGAAACAAAAGGCAGCAAAGTTTTACCAAGTATGTAATTTGTTTGTAACACTATTTCTCATAGTATATATCCTACTCCGTGTTAAATAAACGCAGAAATTCGAGTGCAGCAAGACAAATACTAATGCAATATTTTATGATCAATTACCTGTATTATAAATTGCGCCATTCCTTGCTTTCCCAGTCGCTCGATATGTTTTTATCTGATAGTGTAGACTTATCTTGTTTGATTGCGAAAAGTGTTGGCCAATATAACGCTCAAAACGACATATTTTTAGCTAACATAACACGCACGCAATAGAATTCTCTCTTGTAGTTTTAGTGCTACCCATCCAATGACGTCACAAAGTTCATTGACCTTCGAGATAATTTGTCAAAAAATATTTCCAAGATGGCGGCGAAAGACAAAGTTTGCATGCATTTTACTCGTAAACTAAAATGTTTGAGAACGAAATGATAATATTTTCATAGTTAGGTCGTCAAGTAGGATTGAAATAGCCAATAAAAATTTTCGGTGCCATTGTCCTTTAAATATCCTTTTATGTACATTTTAATAAGCCTTCTCGGCCTCCTTTTTGTGACCGAAATTGAATATAATTTTTGAACCTGAACGCCGAATGTTTTGGCCTGAATAGATTGTGTATACGTACCGTTCATGTCTTTGATGGCATTTTCAGCACTCTAAAAATTGACAAAAAACATTGCTAAAGCTTACTCTCTTAAAAAGAGGTTCAGATTTGACTTCCACTACCGCTTAATTGGATATAACAAAACAATTCTAGAAACTTGTTAAAAGGCAGAAAATAAAAAAAAACCTTTTCAAAGATACAGCGCTACTTACAATTTTATTATAAAATGAAACAAAGCCATAACCCTTTGAAGCTCCAGTTCCAACATCAACTACCACTCGTGCATCTCTGTTGAAGAAGTCAAATATATTAGAAATAGTAAGCACAGATTTCTGGCTAATAGAGAAGCTCCAAGCAGTGAACTCGATAGTTTGAAGACAGGATCACTATTTTATTCCCTCACCAATTATGCAATGAATGCTATATGAATATTCGTTCAGAAATAATTATTTACTTTCGAGTTGTAAGGATTCAACCTCGTACTCCTTCACTATAATCTGCTCTCGTGTTTTCAATTGAGCAACTGGTGCGCAGATTAGAAAGTCTGGGTATGTTGAAGTCAAATATGCTGCTATGCTTGGCAATCATTATGGTTCTATCCAGACAGTATCTCCATTGCTCTCAATGACTTAATATACTTATGCTTTGATTGGTGTTCAGCCTGTTCTAAGAGGTACAGTATCAGCCCTGCCCTGAGCAATCTCAATAAATTTTCTTAAATCCATAATTCAGAAAAGGGAAACTTGGCTAACAACATGACAACGACGGTGAATTTTCCAACAACACGTTTACCCTGTCAGATTTGAGAAATTTCTGGTGGAAACAATACCAGCGAAACCAGCTTAATAGACCTTTCCCCTTATAACCAAAATTTTGATCTAGGCAAGTCTAGACAAATATTTCATCACAGCTTGAAAGAGCATCACAAAATTAGTAATATTCCAAAGTTTCGTTGCGAAATGTTGTAAAATGAGGAAAATAGAGCCTTGCGAAATTTGCAATTTTCAGTCATTTTGAATTACAAACGGGAAATTGCAGCCCCAACACCCGAATCGTATGTCAATTTCCCGTTTGTAATACAAAATGACTGAAAAACGGAAAACTTCGCAAGGCTATATTATCCGCATTTTACAAGATTTTGCAACGAAACTTTGGAATATTACTAATTTTGTGATGCTCTTTCAAGCTGTGATAAAATTTTTGTCTAGATCGAAATTTTAGTTATAAGGGGAAAGGTCCATTATCAGCTCAGTTTAACTAAACGTAAATGTAGCTTGGAAAAGGCAAAACACGCCACAATGTGCAGAAGACAATCAAGAATTTAAAGCCTTGCTACATCTGTGTCTAAGGAAACATTTACTCTTTTAATTTAATGTACACATTATTCAATCGTCGTGTGTGTGTGTGAGCAAATGGATCGTAATAAAAATTCTTGCCAGGCTGCTTGAAATGTTTTAAAATAAATACATCTTCCAAGCTACATTTAAGTTTGGAGACAAGATCTCTCTATTAATAAAAAGTGAAAAATGAAAAAAACAACGTAGAAAGCATACGTTGCCACGAGCTTGTTGAGCAGCTGAAGACACACATCTGTATTTAACAAGGAGGGTACACAGTGTTACACAACAGTTTACATACACTAGGATACTGTATAACAACAAAAACCTCAAACATCATCTTAAATATGAGATGAGTCAATCTGTCTTTAGAAAGGGTGCAAATAGGGTACATATAGAGGGTACATAGTATTACATGACGTTTTATGCACACTAGAACAACAAAATTTCAATCTTATAAAGAAAGCATTATTCTAACATATACAGTTGTGAAACGAAACACAAGATGACAAGGGTGTTTTACTTCACTGAAAACAAAATGCATGCCATAAAGAATAATCAAATTAAATTTCTGTGGATAAAAATATTTTCATTCAATTTCAACAACAGTTTTCTTCAGTTGGCATTTCACTGTAAGGCAAATTACATAACCAGAAAGATCAGATTACTTTTTAGTTTTATTACATTTAATAAAAATATCACTGTAAAAAGATATTTAGAAAAGTTAATATATCATCTGGTAAATATTGTCCAAACATTGAAACCTAGACTTCCAACTGGCGTTAGTACATGGTCTAGCCTGTGGCTGTGCTGGAATCTAATTTTTACCAATAATTTTGAAGAATAAAAATTTGAATAAAAAAAGGAAGGAATAAAAAACCTAAGGCCAAACCTTAGTCTTTATCTAACGAATCCGTTTTGACTCATGTTGCTGCCTGGCAAGAGAAAACACCCGGACTTTAAGGAAAGTATCACGTTAAATAAAGTAGAAAAAAGTTTGATGATGAAAGTAGAATCCTGTGATCAAAACCTAAAATCCTCAATGTTTTATGTCAATTTAATTCCTTACAAATATACATATAAAAAACAAGTTTGCATTTCCTCTTTGTCATCTTTGAGTACAAGGTAAGGTACTGGCATGTAAAAGAGTGTTTCACATACAGTCAAAGAGCTTGTATACGTGGGCTATCCCTGGCTGCCTCCAAAGCTATCTCAGTGAACTCAACCTCATTCTGCTAGAATCCAATAAGTGGAATTTAGACCCTAGGTACAAAAGTCCTTAAACTAGTAGAAAACATACACTGATACGCATGTATAAAAAGCATATACACATCCATACATATAAATACAACATTAAATGTTAAAGGCAGTTAAAGCCAATAAATTAAAACAATACTTACGATATTTTTCCAAATTTCTCAAAGGAGCTCTTGAGAAGCTCTGTCGTCATTTCATCAGGAAGATCACCAACAAAGATATGGAAGTGATCTTGTGGTAAAATAATGAAAAAATCAAATGTATTCTCTTAACAGTAGTGTATATAATAAATATTTATTAAATAATTAAATAACAATAGTTTGCCCCAAGAGCGACAATTGCTCATCTTGGGGGCTCACTATTAAATTTACATAAGGCAAAAAAAAAAATATGTGGGTTTCCGGTTTCCCGACCCTACCTAGCTTTTGGACATCGAAATCCCAACCCTAACCTTTTGTATTGGATCATGGTTGTAAGTGTTTCCACTTAGAGAAAAAAGTTTGTGGAAAATTGAAATTTGAGGCAATATTAGGGAAATTTATCTTTGGATGTGGAAGCACTGACTAAACAAAATGGCGCCCGCTTGATCGGAAAATTAAAAAAAAAGTTTAAAAAAAAAGTTAAAACCGACCTACCCTACCTAAGTTTTTATAAGAAGAAACCGGAAACCCACATATTTTTTTTTTGGCCTAAATGGACACACATAACACAACTTGTTACCAATAATAATCAGCACATTATGTAAGTTCAGTTCGTTAAACTATATTTAGGCAAGCAGTACTAAGGTTCAACATGGGTAAATCGACCAGTTTCTTTAATAAAACTTTGAACATAATAGAAAATGTAAGCATTTTCCTCTTCTGAGATTTGCGAAGATCCAGAAAGGAAAACACTTATTAGCTGCGTTTCAGTCCTTGCGTGCCACCTGTGAGCAAAAATAAATGCAGCAGAGGAGAGCAGTTTCAATCTTGGAGCAGCAAACAACGGACAATGTAAAAAGTAATGATTAATACTTTCAACTTCAAAGCCACAAAGACATTCAGGAGATGGTTTACACCCAATTTTAAATAGATAATAATTAAGGGCACAAACGTTTAAACGTAAACGAGTATGAATGATGGAAGAATATCTATCGAGAGAAAAGTTAAATAACATATTTTGCTGTGGAACATCAAAATACGAAACAAAGCTTTTTTAAATAAAATAACTGAATCAAGACTACGCACAGATGTGTCAATATCATTCCACAACATAGTCGATGACGGGAAAAAAATTTTTTTGAAACACTCAGTACGTACTGGAAATAGAGTGAAATCCGGATACAATCTTAGAAAATAATGAGTTCGCTCAAACACCTGAGATGGCAATAGCTCCTTTAAATAATTTGGAGTTAAATCATTGATAATTTTAAAATAGAATGTCAGCTTGTGGATAGAACGCCTAGTTTTCATATCTTCCCAACCGATTTCTTGCATTAAAGAATGCCTACTAGTACCCTTCATGGCACCCGTCACAATTTTAGCCGCTTCATATTGCACAAACTCAAGGAGGTCACTTTCACCATCTGTACAACCGTCCCAAAGAACATCTCCATATTCCATTAGAGGACGAATTAAGGATTTGTATAATTTATTCAAAGTTTCCCTGTTGATTATATAGTAGTGTATGGTACGTAGTGTCCTCAGCTAACAGAAAAAAAATGGAGCAACTTTGTATCAGCACTAAACCTGCCATGACAGAATAGGAATGTAAATTAAGCGTTTTTTCTGGCCTACAATTATTTTTAAAAATTGTAGTGGCGGCCATGCTAGTTTTGACCTACAAATCACAATTTTGACCTACAAGAAGTTTCTCTACTGTAATATGTGTGTTGTTTTGGTATGAACTCATGCAATAAGCTAAGAAATTTACCTCATGACCAGCTGTTTGGCAAGGCATTTCCAGTCTTAAAACTGGCTGAAAAGTTAGCCTTGTAAGCCACTAATTTATTGGCCCACAAAACTTTTTTTCACATGACAATTTGCCGGCTGTTAATTCACAGCCAGTTCTAACAGGCCAGCCCAGTTGTCTATGCATTAAACACAAATCAATTTCTAAAATAACTACTGTAACATCATAGTTACAACATAATAGTTGTAGTACATACTAGTACTGTAAACTGCCTCATTAAACAACTATAATCTTACTTAGCTGCCACAACAACACTCCCTGAGTTATTACTTACATTTCCTGAACAGTTTATTCATTTCAAACCTAGGCACATACTAGACTAAATGACAGGTGTTTATAAACTGAGAAAAAAATAATGCACTCACTGCTTGTGTCTTTCCTCATTCCCGTGTTGCTCGTTGCCCAATTCACCTTGATATCCTTTTAATGAAGCCAAAAAACATGTGGTTAACAACTGATGGTTGTGGTTAGGAATGAAAAAACATGGAAGAGTTAGGAAGGAATGGATAAACCACTTATTACTGTGTGATGTGTTCAGGTGTTTTAAAAGCACAACAAGCAGGTGGGAGACAAAGTTTTGTAAACAGATACACCTACTTTTTAAACAATGGTGTAACTACAATACAGTAACCCTTGCTAATTTTTGGCAAGTTGGTATTATCTAGAGCTGTGCGGTTACATTAATTAACTGAAATATTTGGTCGGTCCGGTACTTTTCTTCTGTGAGTCAGCACCGTAAGTCAGCACCAATCATGCACAAATGAACCAGTCGTTTCAGTTTCACACAGGTTGTCGTTTCTCAGCGTTCTCATTTTTAAAGAATTTCCTTAAACTGAGGACATTTGGACCTCTTTAACTTAATTTAATTAAGAAAATGAAATTTTTAAGGAATTTCTAAGAAATTAGAATGTTTTTGTTTCATTTGACTTATTAGAACTTGTTTATTTTGAAGTTATATTGCAATTTATTGAGAAATTCTTTGAATTGTTCTTCACTTAAAAATACCGAAACCAACATCAAACCAAGGTTCTTCCACCCCAAAAAGACCGAAACAGAGATAAAATTTCGTTCTCTAGTATTATCAAAATACATCTTGGTTTCCATTTCAGGCAAATACAGGTAGATTTGCCAGAAAAGGCATCCAAACTCAAAGTGATAGATATTACCCCCTAAGTGTTTTGCCTGAGTGGCAGGCTCTCATTGAGATGGAAAGATGAACAGAGAATGAAGGCCTGCAAGAAAACTTGCCTTTCATGATTAACCCATTAAGCTGCAGAGCTTCCCCATTGACGAGTAAAATTGTCTGGCATTAGACAAGTAAAAAAAAATAAGTAGGGCGCATTGCGGCTCAATGGGTTAACACCCAAATAAACTTGTTAAAATTGATTAATAAAACCTTAGCAGATGAACAAAATGTAATAATGTATTTTCTTGGGTATAAACATGTCAATTAACTCATGGCATTGGCCAATCACAATCTACATGCAAAAATAGAACAGCATGCACATGTTTTAGACATGCCTGTCATAATATGTCCTTTCAAGAAGTAGCACTTTTATCAAATTTTGCATACATTATAAAATTTCTAGAATATATAAGAAACAACTGAACTGAAATTATCCTTTTTAGAAAAGCTTGGATAAAAATTATATAAAAAAAGGAAAATAAGCATTAGTCACAACCACTTTACTAATAACAGATTTTTTGCACATCGTTTGGGAAAGTGATGTGCAATTTTCCCAATTTTGGACAAAATGTTGCACAAATTGTATGGTACACTGCACACTGTTAATTCAAACCCTATACATATTTAAACAGGGTAACCTTGTCAGCAAATAAAATTTCCATGCTGTTATGAATAAGGGCCCTCCCTGTGTTCAATACAAAACTATACACCTACGATTATAAAAATCTGACATGCAGTATACAGTACTATTTATGTAAAAAGTGTACTTTCAACTTTGTCTTAAAAAGAGAGGAAAGATTCTGAAAAGTGTACCTTCAACTTTGTCTTAATGTAAAGAGAGTAAAGATTCTGAAAAAAACATTTTGCCATCCTGGGTACATATATTTCAAAACGCAATGTTTGAACACTCCGGCACAATGTCTAAGGTGTTATGTAACCCATTAAGTTGCATTGTACCATAATGTGCCCTACTTTATTAGGCCAAGTAAAAAAATAGTAGTTTCTCGTCCGAATTTTGAAAAAAAAGAATGTGGGCGCCTTTTTTTTCTCTTTTTTTTGTTAAACCTTCAAATATCGCTCTTAAAGTTTACCGAATAACCTATAAATCATATAAACACAAGCAAATATTGAAGTTTACTCATAAAACGTAAATATATTAAAACAGACAAACAGCTACTAATGCAATATGGCACCAAAATACGCAACAGCAAGCGAGAGTTGACGAAAATTTCCAAACGGCAACCGAACCATGCCGAAAAGAGCAAAATAGCCGAAATACACTAAGCGGAAATTCTTTGAAAGGCTCGAATATAAAAATTTTAAAAAAAAGAAAAATCCATGCGGCAGGGAAAAAGGATGCGGGCGGGGACGAGAAACTACTATTTTTTTTTTTACTTGGCCTTATTTTGCTCTGATTCATGCCAGACAATTTTACTTGTCCAAGGGAGAGCGCTTGCACTCATTGTGTTAACTAATTCACTGTAATTCTGTAATTCTTAGTGTATGTATCTCATAATGTAGACTATTTGGCAAAGCTAAATAATTAAAGATGCTGTAAAGTCTGTTCTGCGCATCAGTTCTGCTCATAACAAAGGGGGATCCGCAGATACAGTATAAATATTGCCCAAATCTTCCATCTTTCAAACTTTTTTGAATTAGAACATAGAGTTTATATTCATTTACAAGCATATCGAACCAGAAAAGTGTTAGATATTCAGTTAGTATATCATATTTTACAAATATAGCAGTTCAGAACGTAAACAAAGCATTTGTTTACATTATGGATTTTACAGCATCTTTAAACAGTTTTAACAGGAAACCTACCTGATCAAATACACGTCTACCATTCATTGTTTCCAGAGCGTTTCTTGCTGAATCGTGGTCTTCAAATTCCACAAAACAGTATGGGTCATTCCCAGTATGCTACAAAAATACAAGTTCAGAACATGCTTGAAAATAGCCCATTTAGTTTCACCGAGCCTATGAATTGCTCAAAATTGGGAAAACATATGGCCTGCCAAACTACTTTTTTGTCAGGTCAAATAAATTATCAATGGTCTACCATTTCTATTTTTGAACTGCCAAAATGGACCTACTCAGGTATAACATTACGGCAAACTGCTTACCAAAAATGGCAAACTGCAAATCGATTGTGTCCTAAACCATTGGACACCAACTTGTTTTGAATTTTTGACTACTGTAACATACATATGGCCAGCATATGGCCATTGACAGGCCATTATTTCAAGTCCCGGGTTAGAATCTGCTTTATTCATCATGATAGACTTCTTTTCTCTACTGAACTGGGTAATTATCTACATACATCTACTCTACAAAGGATTCAGGCAGTTAACAACCTCCCCTTTCGAACACATTTTTATTACCATCAGAAAGACAGAAGTAAGCTTCGTTCTCACACCTTCCAGACATCATCACAATTTTCGACCGCAGATGATTTTTTTTGCAACAACCCATTTGGACATCATCTTATACACAAAGGAAGGGTGGCAATGGTTACCACAAAATGTTAATGGATTCACTCTTTCTTGTCTGTACCACAGTATTTTGGGGTCCCCAGGACAGACACAAAAACAAGCAATTTGACTGCTTTGCTGACCGTTTTAGCATTTGGGACCCAGTGCATTTGATTCAGAACTTAATTTCAGGCATGACAAGACTAATTTTGGTGCACATTTTAATTTTGCACTACATGGATGTTGCACACAAAATGCATTGAATCTAAAGAAGGTTTTAGTCCATTTTGGAAGCAATGTACAGTCTTCAACTATTTACATAATCATAATAAACACAAAAACATCAAGTAAGGCCAAAATACCTGGGTTTCTGGTTTCTCTATCCTACCTAGTTTTTGGTCACCAAAATCACGGATCTTTTTATTCGAAGTTTGGAAAGAAATTTGGAGAAATTTTTCCTACCCAGTTTATGGCATCAGTTTTGCACTAGCTATATAAAGTGTAACCTGTTTGTTTTAAAGTTGATATAATATTTAATTTTGTGCCATCTGTGCTGTCACAATTGATGTAGAATATCATTCTCATGTATGAGCATTGTCCTGCTGCTTATAGGGGGGGATATGCATGGTTGTAAAACCACAACAAACTGGGTAGACACAACACAACTGACAGCCACAAAACTTTATTTCCCTATGTATAATTGCATCTTTTTGCCATGAAAGAAGGCATAATTCCTAAAGAAAATTCCGTACTATGTTCAAATGTTGTAGTGACTGACCAATAATCGGTATCAATCAGAATGATTTTTGCCTTATCAGTAGACAATAAAAATCGGTAGAATTATTTGTATTTCCAATTGTGTACTGTAATTGTAAAATTGATTGTTGAGAAAATTGTGCTTTAAAAATTATATACATCGCATGTTGATACAAGTTGCATTTTAACGCAATATGTTGCTGTGACAAAATTAATCTGTGAAGTGTCTATTTATGAACGGTTATTAATGAACATTGGTTACAGTAACATGTTAGGTTGGAAATTATTGTTAAAAAATAATCAAAGGCTGTTGAGGCAGACTCATGGATAAGATCAAATAAAAGTGAGAGAAAGAATTAGAGCAGTTTTGCAGTTGTTTTTTTCCAAACCGGGCACCATGTGAATTCAGAAAGGCCCAATTCGCAGGCAAACAGTGCGTGCAAAGCAAGCTGGTCATTTCCCATTGCTTTGCAACATCCGTGAGTCAAAAACAAATTATGTCACCTTTACTCGGTCAACTGACATTATAACACCATTATAAAATCAGTATTGGGTAAACTGTTGCATGAATAATCGGTGATCTGTAATTTCCGATTGTGGCACATTTATGCATTTTATCTGGACAAGGCCTACCAAAATATCTTGGGGTTCCCACTTCAGAGCTTGAAAAAATTAGGGTAAATAGGTCAGAGTGTCAAGTCTTGCCGTGCCACAACATATGAACATTTTAAATTCAAATGAACAAGGTTTGGCATTATCTGTATTATAAGGCGAGCACCGTACAACACGAGTCAGCAGTAAAGCAGACAGCCACACCTACATTGGCAAAAATTTTAGGGTCGGCTAAAAAAGATGAGGTCAGTCTGGAAACCCGAACCAGCGAATAGTTTGTTTATAGGTCCATGAATGACACAGCACCAAATGTGGGTAATATTATTCAAACATACAAAACTTATTACAAATGTCCCATCACATTAGAAAGTTTCAAAACAGATATTGAACTATAAAAGCAAACCTTTTAACAAAACATATACAATTAAACACTTCTCATTGACATGAAAATTCACATTGTACACACTACACAGACAACTTATTATCCGTTTATAAATATCCTACAGACTTTTTGTGGATGTGTTTTATATTAGTAGCCTATAATCTTTGTCCTTTATATTATTATATTAACTAGTACAGCTACAAGGCAAGCTATTTCTTGAATAGATCAGGCACACGGCATTTTTTAAAGCGTCTGATAATAGAGAAGGAATTTCTTGGTCATTTCAAATCCTGAAATAATGGCACCCAACTGAGTACTTGCCCTAGCTTTTTCTCAACTTTATACCAAGCGTTCTTTTCACCTTAAAACTCGTTAAATATTTCAAAATGAAGCCTTAAACATACCTTCACGTCAAGTTTAGCTTCTTGACAGCAAGACAAACCGGAAAGTGTGTTTTAATTTGATGTTCAAACTAGCGACGTCGCTGAACAAATGCAGTGTCGTGTCGGTATTCGTCTACTTTATAAGCGAATAATAAGTATTCAAAACCCGGCTAAAACGCATAAAATATTCCTAAAAGACACATAAATATACATGTCTATGATACGTACAAAGAAAACGTAGTCCCAATGGGCTTAACTATTTTTATAATCCTAGAAATTAATTCAAAATGACTGTTTGTATGATTCAAACACATAGTTGTCAATGACAGCTCGTCACGCCTGCCGCGAACTTCGTTAATAAAACACCGTATATTCATTGCCCTTGCTTGAATAAAATTGTTTTAAAATAGCGACATCATTTACTTACATCGTATATCATTTTACATCTCTCCACCGGGGCTATTTTGCCAAACACTTGCTTTAAAAATTCTTCCGTACATCGTCGGTCCAAGTTTCCTACGTACCTATAGAAAATTTGGCGTCAGCATATGCCAACTTTAGAAGCAAATTTCACACATATCAAAACACATTACAAGACTTACAGAACTTTCGATGCACCTTGATATGACTAAAAATCAAAATAACGAAGAATTTAGTAAAGCATTCCGGTTAAAAATATGAAAAATATTGCAATAAAACCAACCTGCATCATCATTTCTAAATTCTCGTACTTGAACAGAAAACGCCGGACACGAGTTCTTTTAGTGCGCGCGCATAAGTTCGCGCGCTGCGCCGCTGTATCGTTGGTACATATTTGCAGGCTCGTTGAGCGTCGAGCGCAATTTATTTGAATGATCGATTACAGTAAACAAAATGTTTATTTTTTGAGAAAAAGATGGATCATTCGTCAAGACAAATTATCAGTGCAGTTTTTGCCCATTCTCATCTGTCTCTCTTGCAAACTTGCATGGGTAGTAGAATTTAATTATTTCAACGGATGACTGCAAGTGGACGAACTTGTGCAAAGTTCATCTGATAACAGCTGTGTATAAACGCGACAAACAGATGGGTCATCCATCACTCTCTGCGTGATATGTCTATCCCCCTATATGTGTAGATAGTTCAAGATATTCGCAACATGCATAAATTGTATCGGTTTTTCAGGACCCTTGCCAATATAAATCAGCAGATTATCTTATTGCCTAGTCCCTAACATTGTATGAGATCAGTGGACACATATAGGAAATTTAGAACAAGATCGAATATATTGAAATATGCCTTGAACCGAAACCATAATATGTTTTTAGACGTTCTCTTTCGTTTTTAAATATTGAAGGCTGCATACTGGTAGTCGAAAGCTCGTAATAATAAATATTTAAAAACCAAAAATATATCAAATATTATTAAGAATATATATCACGCTCTAGGCTTTCTTCAAGGGCGCTGGAGCCACTGAGCCCGCAAAGGCAGCCGACCCTTCCCAAACAGTGCGGGGGCAGTATGACGGGCCGCAACTCAGACAAATATCTACTTAGTCTTACGTATTTGGTCTTGCACCTTTTCACATTCGGCAATGATATTAGTTAGTCGTTGTGCAACATTCGTTATTTTTATTTTTCTAGTCAACAAAATAAATTGAAAATTACCTATACTATGAAGTTCTGTGAAAAACAGAATATGTACAAATTATTGAAATGTTACAATACACTGTCTATATTACATTGCAATTTACTATGTAAACTAAATTTGATTAAATTTCATTAATATTTCAACAATACTTTATAGTCTGGTAATTTTTGCAATTAAGTGTTAAAATTAACAAACTAACTAATGGTTGCCGTTGTTGCAATTGTTCATGCACACTTGTCAGCTTCAAAAAAACTGATTAAAAAATTATACTAATATTTTCATGCAAACGCCCTGAACCATCAAATCAAATCAAAGACTTGTACTAAATAAAGATCCAGAAAACTTTGAACCTATTCAATGCCAAATCCTTCGGAATTTGAAATTGCAATAGTTAGTTTTGTCTTCAATTGTTGTCTTGTCTTGTAGGGTGGGAGACAGAGTTGATTGAAGCATGTGTGTGCCATTGGTAACCTAAATAAATCATTGACATAAATAGCTAGGTTGCTATACGCCAGGCTTCTACGCAGTCTAATAGGTTGCAGGATTGTTTACACCATGGGTGAACTCGTCAATGAAACTCACTCATGCTTGCAGAATATGTGAAAGTTGTTGAAAACAGAGAGAAAGAATACAGCTAAGAACAGGGTTGAATAAAGAGAGAGCCAGGGGGGATCTTGTCAGGGATGCCGGAACCACGGGTGCAGCGGGTGCAAGTGCACCCCTTGCCTTTTGCATTTTCAACTTTGTGGGTGCAGACTATGGGTGTAACGGGTGCACAAAACTTTTACAACAGACAGAATTAAACGTCGTTCGAGGATGTGTGTGGGGGTGTTCCACCCCCCAGTCGTCAGGAATTCGGCAAAATTGTTATCCATTTGGCGAAAGGTGAAACGGAAAGCATTACTTATGGAATTTTTGGCGAGAAATTACGGCGGAATTGTGCCTAAATAATTGTATTCGGTCCGAAAAAAATTGGTGACGGGGAGGGAGGTTGACACGAATGTAGGATCATGACGCCCTTTCATTTTCATTGGTGCCCTTTTATTAAGGAGTATGCCCTCTTGTTAACCAATTGCACCCCTTGCCCTCAGCAACTTCCGGCATCCCTGGATTTTGTAGATGGAAATTTCGATGTAACTTTTATACATTTCTTAGACCTAACCAGGAGCAGGTGCGAAAAATGCAACTATATAGACCCTCTGGCTGAAATCGAACCTGCGGCCCTGCGATTCCGGTGCAGCGCTCTAACCAACTGAACTACAGAGTCCAAGCAGTTGTCGAGCTCTAACCACAAGTTCACTGTATAAATACAAAGGTGATGTTCAAGTGCATATGACATGAAATTTCTTATTTTTTTAAATGAAAGAACTCTTTAAGTTGTAGTGTAATTTATTTTTCAGTTTCTTGTTTTTATGGTTTGTTCCCAAGATATTTCGATTTGTTTGATATGTAAATGAGTGTGAATATGTCCACTAATTTATGACGTCATGTTGGTTGCAAGCTTAACTTACACTGGTTATAAATGTATTAACTCTAAAAACTGTTGATATCAGTTCACATTTTTCTCCAGTGTTCATCACATTTAGCAGTGAGTGAAGTTTGAAATTATTATCTTGGATAATAGCAGTGATATTCAACCATTTTGAAGAGCTTGCAACCAACATGACGTCATAAATTAGTGGACATATTCACACTCATTTACATATCAAACAAATCGAAATATCTCGGGAACAAACCATAAAAACAAGAAACTGAAAAATAAGTTACACTACAGCTTAAAGAGTTCTTTCATTTAAAAAAATAAGAAATTTCATGTCATATGCACTTTAATGTATTAAAAGTGTATATGGGTAAATATCATGATTTCGGGCATCTCACGCGATAGAACTAATTGTTGAAGGGATCGATTTTGTAGATGGAAATTTCGACTGTAATTTTTATACATTTATTAGGCCTAACCTGGAGACCTAATTCTGGTGGTGATATTTCTACATCTGTCACGAAAGTAACTAAAGAGAATGAATATCAGAAAAAGAGAGAAAAAGAGGAAAGGAAACAACAAATGCTCTTCCTAAGTTATCGGTTTATTATACTCGTTTTGGGTTTAAGCGTTGTGTGTGCCATGCAGTTTTGCGCTCTGAACTAAAACGCAATACTCACATTTCATCGCTAACGTTCGCCATTCGTGTTATCTTGAATTCCATTTCAGCCACACCACCCACAGGTATTCGATCACTTCCAGTGCAGAAACGTAACAGTTTCCGTTTCATGGAATTTGAAAACTTTCCTACAGTTTCCCAGAAATATCTACATAGAAGAATGAAAATATGGCAGAATAAGGATCGTTTGATGTCTATACCAGTTTGTGTTACTACAAGAGGAAGCCTAAACCAAACTAACTCTGTAAGGGCAATCCTTCATTTGATCCAGGGTTATTGCAAGAACTTATTTTATACCGTATTGAATAGTCCTTTCAGTTCCCAGCTGTTCTCCAGTAAGGAAAAGTCCATATTGGTCCAGTATTACGAGTCTTACGCATTAGGAGGATTTTGGGGTTTGAACTCCCCAACGTTGGAAAATGACAAAAAGACGGTCCCAGTTTTCTCTGAGACTATATAAGAGTTGTTTAATCCACACGCCACAAATGTCTGTTATGAGTACGAAAGTTGTGGATCGTCCCAGTCCCCCCCCCCCTTCCAGCAATCTGTGCGCCCTCGGTCTTACGAATGGAGTGCCAGGGAAAACACTGATGAGTTCATTGATGAAACAAAATGGTTATACAACACCTGATGGTTACGTCACGTTTTGAAAATCCATCATAAGTTGTGACTTTAGATAAAGCCTTCATGTCAAAATCAGGATTACCACAGACCAACATTTCCACCTCCTCAGGGCGCAGCATCTGATGAAATAAGAAAGATGTGAAGGAAAATAATTCAATGCCAGTTACATAATCTCCTTCACAATAACTAACTTTATTAATTTGCACTGCACTGACATCGCATCACTAGTAATTAACTAGTATCAGTTCAAAAGTCTCGTGCAATAAGGGACACCGCTATCTCTTCAGTATGGGTCCAGTGTTATCACCTGTGCAGAAATCTTGATCATGGTGTTTGGTATATAGTCAAACTCTTTTCACCGGCCCATCTTAACCTATTCTCAAATTGCTTTACTAATAAGAAGACTGACTTGCTTTGCCGTTAACATTCCGCACTGTATAAGGACTGGAATTCCAAAAAACCCAGTTTTGAAAACTGGGTTTTTTGGAAAACGTTTGGACAGTTTATGTTTTCAATATAGTAATGAGTACTTACAATCAAAGCATTAGACGCACACACGCTGTGAAAGCCATGATAAAATGCCGCAAATTGACGATATATTGATTGATTTAAAATATAATCCACATACAGATCAACGTACTCTATAAAGACAGTTAGAACTTGTGAGTTGATGCTGAAAAGTTACAAGATATCACTTAGCTTAAGAAATCACTTTATCGTTCTTCAATTTCCTCAAAGATACATCTTTATTTTTACCGTTTCTATTTTCGTTGGTGACTGGAATGGCATGACCATTTTCTTTCAAATTTTCCGTGACAACCGAACCAAACACGGTACTGGACACCTGGGAAGAATTGGGATTTTTACCGTAAAAACCGTAGAAAATGCAATCCTAGTGCTTAATTTATATTATCCCTAACCTAACACCACTGATCTAATAGAACACACACCTAAAACCTACTATGCACAACATCCAGAAATCTTCCTTATCTTTTTCGTGAAGCCAAATCTGACCCCAGACACGCATATGGTGGAATACGGTGGTTCAGAACCTATGTTCAGAACAGTAAACAAAAGCCCACTATATAAATAGCGTCGTCAAAATTACCTGAAATGTTTGGCACATGTCATCTTCCACATTTCCTTCGTAGTTAAGAAGTTCATGCAAGCCTCTGGCTAGCTCCTAAGAGAAAATTCAACAAAGGTTAAAGATATGGCTGCCTGAACACAACAGGTCAGGGTCACGACGGCGCGGTGTATAAAAACAACGCAAAAAGAATACGTTTGGTATTGAAGGAAACAAAATTACTCACAGGCATAACCTCTTTCAAGTCGCTGAGATGTAACTTGGTCACACCAACTGTGGTATTTCGATCTGGTGGCACCACAGCCGGATTTAACAACTTCTTATAACAACAAAGAGGAAATCTTATGTCTAATATTGTGCCATTGTAAACTGCTAAACCCATTAACTAATGAAAAGTTAAGGATACAAATTGCCATCGAATTTCTGTGGAAAATCTACATGTGAAATGTTAGAATAGAAATCTTACACTAGTTTTTTTTATACTAAATAACTAAGTCCTAAACTTGATTTGCCCGGAAACACCCAATATGTGACATTCTGTATTGGTTCAGTGCTACTAGAGTAGTGTTACTACATCAACTACAGAAGAAAACAGGAGTCTTGCGGGATTTGGTTGTCAGACTATTATAGCTGAAGCACTCTTTCTCAACTCAAAATTTAACCAGCTAAAGGCTAACCAGTATATTGCTGTTTTTTTCATTTCCTTTTAAACAGTTATTTGCCTTATTTAAAACAAGGATACGATTCCAACGAGTTCAAACTCAGCCAGATTATCAACAGCCATGTTCGTGAACCAGTGGCATGAAGAGTTCTCGTCGTAACGGAACATGCCTTGGAATAACAATAACAAATAAATTATTGACTATGAGGCTGCTTTAGTAGTGCACATTAGTTTCATTCCTAAGGTTAATTCTTCACACATTTCTTACTATACTGGTACCGTCCAACATCTCATTCTTGACAAGATATCTGTGGCAAATAGTTTAATACCGTCTTACAGTATAATATAACTTACTCGTTTGGATGGTTAGGTGCAAAGGGTGGGAGGTCAGGTCTGCAGTTTACCAAACATTTGCAGTTACTTGGATTCAGGTCAAGGGGAAATGGGGCATGTAGGCATGTAGCAATTTCGAGTACTGACCTGACCACCCGAGTATTGGCCTGACCACCTATCACACCGACTTAATTACTCGGAGTGGAAATTATTCCGAATGCCTGCATGTTTTAAGGGTGGGTTGATGCGATTTTCCAACTTGTGTTTGAAGTAAACTGACGACCTATATACGCCTGGTAAGCTGCACTTGCCACAATGAACTGGCACATTTTATGCTCCCTGCCGTTTGTAGCATGAAACCCATAAAATACTTTACGGTAATGGCTAAAAGGGATGGATGAGAGCGAGGTTCTCAAGATAGTTCAAAATTTAAACTCGGACGTCGCTTTAGTTTAGGGAACCTTAATGTTAGCGAAGGTTAGGATTGGGTTTAGGATCGTTTGCCGTTTCGTCTCCGGTCGTTTCGTCCCTTGCCGTTTCGTCCCCTTGCCGTTTCGTCCCCTTCACATTTCGTCCCCAGACTAGATACTGTTTTATCTATTATATAACCTACTTCCTTAATACAATATATCTTACTTTTTGAGATTGTATCTCAGTGGATTGTATATGCCCGGATAATACACATTTTTGTATTTAAATTCCGAAACTTTGAAATGTAACTTAAATATTTGGCTTTTATTTCACAATATTAATATTGCTGTTGTCAGTGACTATTACAGTGACACTTGACTTTATTTTAATTGGAACTGAGTCTGAGGAAAACTAGACCAATGACAGAATGACTGCCATTAGTGAGCTTAAGATCGCAATGTTTTTGTCAACACCGGCGGACGTCAGTTCGTCGAGGGGGACTGGATTAAAAACTGTGTTTCTGTCAGTTTGTGGTAATCTTCAACACATAGGACAAAACCTAAGGTTTTTTAAGTTTTTTGCTTCCTTATGAGACGAGCGCTATAATGCAAACTGCCGCCTGAAAATTAGTCCTACCAATTTTCGGGTGACGTCCGTGTTTGGGACGAAACGTGAAGGGGATGAAACGACCATAAAGCGTTATGAGTGCATTGTTTTTGTTGATTCTTTCACGTTTTACTATAAACGATCTTGCAAAATATCCGCCATCTTGAAAACATGTCCCTCGGCCACCCCCTTTAGCAACGACATTAAACCATACTCAATCTGTCTGTATGAGTCAGGACTATCGGACTATTTTCTCATTCGGGAAAGTCTTCTCATTAACAAACTCAAACCCTCTCTCAACTTACAAGGCAGTTCGGTCCCGCTACTTCTACTCTGATCCACTCCTCTTTCTACTAATATAATATCTTGTAGATAGTTGTAATTTATTCATATTTCTGTGTTTTCCGCTTTGTATGTCATTGCTCTGAAGATGTCTTAAGTTAAAGACGAAACGTTAGCTTTCTAATAAATATTTTAAACTATATTTTTGTTATGGCTCTTTTACGTATTTTCTGCTGGGCATTAATATTTATCTTAAGATTACGATTCCCGCCTGGTTCATCTATCGCAACTATCGGACTAGATTAAGCAGCAAGTAATTTTTATCTTCACACTGTGCTCACAGGAAGAAAATTATTTTTCACCATTGCATATATTGCTTACCGTATTCTGCGCGGAAAACCTTCCGCACAAGCAACATAAACCATTCTTTTGTTAAACCTCCCATGTCGACTCCTGGCTCTCCTATAAAAGTCACTTTTAACTTCTTTTTCAAGTCTGCTCTTTTGTGGGATATCTGGAAAAATACAGGAGTGGATGAAGAATGAGATAGACTGCTAATAAAAGAAAGAGAAGGATCAAGAAGAACGATAAAAGAAGGACTTGAAAGGAAAGGAAAAAGAATAAGGGAAGAACGATGGTTAAAAGAAGTAAGAATGAAAGAAAGGAAAGGTCAATGAATTATCAACAATGTGGTGACCTCAAGGATCGAGGATCGATGTTCGATCCTTGTAAAAAGCTTGTTATGGCACTATGTCAAAGCACTAGATAGATTACTCCTGCCATAAGAGAGAAAAGGATGGAATTGGGTAACGAATAATGGAAATATTGGAAAGCAAAGGAGAGGAAAAGAAAAGAGAAGATATTAGGAAGAAAAAGAAGATAGGTTGACAGCTAGTTGCAATAAATGTGGTGTACGAACATTGAAAAGTACAAGATTCCTACCTCATTTAGAGAATCTGACATTAAATTATCTCTTCGAACTCGAAGATTCAGGAATAACATATTGACGGCAGGTTGTTCACGTTTCTTAACGCCCTGAATAAGACTCCGCTAAAATTGAAAATAAATCTTTGTAAACTTTGTGTCATTTGTGTGTTGCTTCTTACAGCTGAGTAGTAAGCAAGTTATTTAAAGAACCTTGTTTCTTGTTGCCTATACGTCATAAACCCTAGATCGATTCCTCGATCGTAGGAATAGAGATAGGGTCTATGACATAGGCTAGGTTTAAGATTAGTACACTGCAAAGATTATTTCGTTAATTGCTGTGTTTATGTACTATTAACAACATCAGCCGAAGACGAGCGTTTGTGTATCCAATACTACATGGACGCAAATGCTGTAAATGGCTTGTGAAATGGCGAGATGAGAACATTCGTATTCTTCAACAATTCAAAATAATTTAATGATATTTGGTGAGTAAATTTAAAGTTTATCATGTAAATGATTCACGATCATGACTTCTTTTGTGTTTTCTTCATGAATTATTAATGAGTTTCACAATAATCATTACGTACGCGAGCTATTTCTATCATTTGCGACTCAGAATCTTTCTGCAGGATATAACGTTTCGCGCTGAGTGTCAGTAGAAATGGATATTGACAAAATGTGAATGTTCTGAAACGAAAAGACGAATGTGGCATTGAGTAAAAATTATGGTTATTTAAATCTAAAAAATCCGATAAGTTTAACTATTTTTTATCAGGTCGGTGTCCGTTTTAAGGCTGGTTCGCGATCGCACTATCAAAGTTTCTGTAATCACGTGGCAATTTTGAATAGGTAAATTCTAAATTTGAAGGATTTGTAAGAACTGTTTGAAGGAACTGGCTCAATGTTAAACACCAACTCAGTTCCCCTCAAACATTCTCAAACAAACTACTGTTATCACAGAAACTCTGATATGTGTAAAGCAGCCTTTAGTACATATAGTATCGTCACTTCTATTATGGCAAAGCTTTTAAGCTTCTATAATAGTAAACAATACTCACCCAGTTCTATATTGCCAATTATTATATTCCTCCATGAGATTCAAGTTATTCAGGATATCAACATGCATGTACGTGTATGACACGACTGGTTTGTTGTTTATCCAGTTGGATGCATCTAAAATACGTCATTGAATTGCATTCTTGATATTTAACCGCCATACAAGCCTGATTGGCATTACCTTTGTATATACCCAGTACATGAATTTGCGATTAGAGCTCAACAACTGCGCTCTCTCTAGTTATCAATGGTTAATTGGTCTAATAAATGTATAAAATTTACACACGAAATTTCCATCTACAAAATCCTTCGACCATTAATGAGCCTTTCTCACGGCCGATTTTCTGGCCATTTTGGGGGTACTGCCCGCTCCAATGCACGTTTTAGAGTCTCCACACCATGAAATACAACTTCAAATTTTAGTATTATAGTTGTTTATATATAATGGTAAATTTACAGTTACAACTTTTAAAAGTCGCTTTTCACGTTGTTTGAATTGTCTTGAATCTTTCACTAGGGCAGACAGTACCCCCAAAATGGCGGATTTTGGCCTTCGTGGGAAAGACTAATTGCATCCATTTTCTTCTCTGGAATTTCATTACATCTTTCATTCTTTTGAATTCCACTGTTTTTTATTCTATATATTCTATTTTATTTCATATTCTTTTTATTCTTGTAATGCATCTCATAATTTTCACGTTCGGGCGTGGTGTTTGATATACTTACTTAAGAGAGCCAACACTTTGACGGCAGATGGCACCCAAAGACGCGTTTTCTCGACTGATGGTAAATCATCTTCTTCACTCGGAAATAAAGAGGCACTGACGAACTGCAAATTCAAAATAAGTGCATGTGGCCATTATGATTATCAGAAAAAATACAGAAGCGATAAAGCATTGAGCTTATTAATACTAAGGGTAAGGTCTATCAGGAATGAATGTGTGGATGCAACACTGTCAACAATGGAATAATTCAGATTTTCCCTATTGTCAAATATGCCTCTGGTCCTCTCTTGCCAAGTTCAGTATGTCAAAGCCAAAAGATAACCTTTCTGGACCAACTACATTTTTCGAAAAAAATCTTATTTATAGAAATTAGCCAAATCAGATCAGGAGAATTATATTCGATAATGTATAATCCGCGCGAAAAGTGGCCTGAGACGAGGTTGGAAAGCATTTAGTGCGCATGTGAGCACTTCTCGCGATTTATTGTAATATTTGATAGTAGTAATTAGTAGTAATAGTATGTATATTTTCCATTCCTACCTCTTTAAGGCGATATATCATCTCTTTGAAACTTGAAATTGGTACCCTAAAGGGTTGTTAAAACAAAGCTTAATCTTGTCCTTGGTAAGAAAACAAAGCTTAATCTTGTCCTTAAATGTTTAACTTACTAGCTGACAGTATCAAAAATAATACATTACTCGTTTAACTGAATAAAAAATTGGAGGAAAAAATATCGTGCAAACCTACCATGCCAACCACGAAACCAAGGTCTGATGTTGCTTGTCAGACAGCGAACTAACTTGGCGTAACAGGTGGGAAAATATGACGTACGAAGAACAGCTGTCGAACTGTGGGTTCTAAAGCATTAAATTTAGTACGGTTTCTTATGAAATATATAGTGCTTATACGTACGTGCGCATGGAAAACGCTTAACTGGAAAACTGCAGGTCCTCATTATTCTATTTTACCCAATGGCACCGTTTCCATGTTAACTTATTTTAGCATGTCAGGGGCAGATAAAGATTACTGTATTCCCATGTTTTCCTGGACGAATTTGTTTCTTGCTGTTCTTAGGCTCAATAACAAAGTAATTTTCAACCCACAAAACATGAGTTAGTATTTTACACGAAAACGAGGCCATTGCGTGAAAACTGAATAAAGGGTAAGGTCTATCAGTTGACTGTGGAAGCCGATCGCGACCCCGAGAATAGCAATCGCCTCGATCTAAAACTATAGCGCTATACAGTAGTCAGTGTTTTACTTTTAGTTACTCAGTTAATAGCAAACCTGAAGAAGTATGAGGTAGCCAGGCAGATCATCGCTATCTTGTTTTCTATACAAAGTAAGAAACATTACATCTAAACATTGCGTTTCTAAGCAAGAGACATTCTCCAAGACATGGCCATGAGTTTCTCCAGCCAAGAAAGGGGGATTAAAGAAAAAAAACAGGTACTACAGAATCAGTTCTCCTTTGCATTCAAGTTGGATCGTAATGTTTCACATCTTGATCCTTGCATAAGGATGTTAAACAGCAGACCTTATCAAAGTCACTATACCTTGTCTAAAGCTTCGGATTTATGGGAATGCAATTACCTGGAAAATACAAGGAGAACTTCGACGTTTCGAGCGAAGCCACTAACGTCCGACTGCCTTCGCTCGAAACGTCGAAGTTCTCCTTGTACTGTTTTTCAGGTATAATGGAGCTTTCCCCTTATAACTAAAATTTTGATCTAGACAAGTCTAGACAAAAATTTCATCACAGCTTGAAAGAGCATCACAAAATTAGTAATATTCCGAAGTTTCGTTGCGAAATGTTGTAAAATGCGGATAATACAGCCCTGCGGAATTTGCAATTTTCAGTTATTTTGTATTTGACAAACGGGAAATTGATGCCCCAACTGACAAATAGAGACCTCTGCCAGCAGGGAACCCCAACACCCGATTGGGCTGTCATTCCTGTTAATTTCCCATGCGTAATACAAAATGACTGAAAAACGGTAATACAAAATGACTGAAAAACGGCAAATTTCGCAAGACTATATTATCCGCATCTTACAACATTTCGCAACGAAACTTTGGAATATTACTCATTTTGTGATGCTCTTTCAAGCTGTGATGAAATTTTTTTCTAGATCAAAATTTTAGTTATAAGGGGAAAGGTCCATTGCATCCCTATCAATTCAAAGCTTTCTCATTATTGACACTAGTGCCCGCACTATGCCTACACTGGCACCTGCAGTATGCATGTTCAAGATTATACCTTGTCTAAAACCTGTGCCGGAAACTGAAGGTTTTCCAGTTACCTCAGAATGGCAGACATTATCATTGATTGTTAATTTATTAATGAAAAAGAACACGCACTTGTTTGAAAGTCAGTTATAAGCGGAGTCAAAGCCGTTTTCTTGTTATTATTCAATTCTTTTTACTTGTTTTGACAAGGAAAATTGTCAGAACGTGATAAGTCCGAAGCCAAGGACTGGATCAAAATGCGAAGACTAGAAATCTAGTCCAGTCCAAATTGGAGGATTTGAAATGATACTTAATTAGTTTGGATCCAGTCCAAGGACTGAATTAATTTTGATCCAGTCCTATAGGACTGGATCAATGTACTTCATCAGATATCCAGTATTATCATGTGAGCAAAACAAAGCAATATATAATAAAGAATTATTAATGAGTTTGAGATATTCTATTATTCCTTGTTGTTACCGTAGAGGTGGCAGAAACAACGTGAATTAAAAACATTTAAAAAGGTCATTTAAAAAGGGCACTTAATTCTGAGCCTTAAATTTTGTGGGCGGCAATGTTCATTAATATTTTGCTGTCTGGATACTTGATTACTTGCAGCCAATATATAGATTATAGTATTATAGTTGGACAAATGTTGGCATTGATTGGAACACTTAATTTATTCATTGCATGACGCTAAAGACTATATATAGATGCATTGTAAAACAACATGACAATTTGTCAATGGCTAGCTTTAAATTGCTTTCTTTTTCACTTTCATAAAGGTGGAAACCTTGTTAGTATAATGTTTCTGAGAGGAACTTGAGATTCAAATTAGAGCTAAATTATCAATTTCAATTCATGTCAATAACGCACGCCTTATTGAAGTGTTGTTCTTGTAAAAAAGGCAACTGCAGCTGCCCCGTACAGCCCCCGCACATGTTTGTGCAACGGGGGAAGCTTCCCCCGCTTCAGTCCCTCGTGATCGCGGTGCCCATGCATGGTTGTTACAGACTACAGCTGTATATACTCTTCTTGGTATCACTTACTTTTTTATGCTGCTCAATAAACAGTTGACAACAGATTTCAGGACTGTTTTCCGATGATCGTTAGGCTAAATGATTAACACAAAAATATGTTTGAGAACTTTTCTTTGACATAGGAACAAAATACAATTTAGTAAACGTTCTCTGATAGGACATGCACTTAACCTGTACTTGGCTTTTCAAGGGTCAGTGCCCCAAACGCACCACGCATAAAAACTGCACTTTATAGAAATCAATTAAAGATGGGAGGATTTCTATTTCACAAAATTATTTAGCTACACGAAAACACTAACCAATGCCATAAGGACGTCATAGGTAACGTTTACAAAGACGGAATTAAATCCACACTTCAGATCAAATTCACTCGCCTAAACACATGAAAAGTAAACAACAATTATATAAAGACGAAGGCCTACTTTGGCCAATGAGGTCGCCGTTATTATGTGCAACATTGTGCGACATTTATAGGCAACATTGGCAATTTTCAAAGAAAAGTATAGTATGCCACGCTGGGCGAAACTGGGCGACATTAGGCGAAATTAGGTGACATTAATTAAGGGAATAGACTCAGTTAGGCTAGGCGACATTAGGCGACCTTGGCCCCCAAAGTAGGCCTAGACGAACTATCAAAGCAATGCCAATGGAGCTGTAGGAATTGCAAAGTTTACAATATCTCACGATGCACATATACACGTTTTGTCTTCTATATGTAATATCATTGAAATGAACGACATTGAAACTTGAAAGTCATTTTTTTCATTACTACTACATGAGTATAATAAGTCTGAAACATTTGTTCAGAGATCATAAATTTTGGCCAAGTTTCATGTCATATATATATTGAATAGCCTGTTTACAGGATATGAATTTATATCACACACAACGGAGGGGAGCCTGAAATTTTGCAGTTTTTGTGTACGAGTGCATGTTGTTTAAATGGCGTCACTTCTATTGTTCTTTGCGTAAGGGAGAGGGAGGGGATATAATTTTCGAAAATAGTTTTGCGTATGTACTAAATGGATGGCCCCCCCTTACGAATTACCTTGAAAACATCAGCCAATGTTCGTAGCGAGCTGAATGCGGAGGTGAGGAAATCAACAATCGTTGAATAATTTTTAGCGGCTTTGGCTTTCTTGAATTCTCTCCTGTTTTAAAGAAAAAAATGTTTAAACTGCATGTCTATATACTATATACTATATAGCCTGCGTAGCAGTCGCTTCATATTATTGAAGGTTTTGAGGATTTGTGTTGGATGTAATATTTCAAGTCCACTATGAGGACTGCATGGACTAGATTTCAAGTCCGCACAATTTGATAAAGTCCGAGGGGAAGCCGAGGACGGGATAAAAATGCGATGACTTCAAATCTAGTCCAGTCCGAATTGGAGGATTTGAAATGACATCCCATGCGAATATATCACTACTTAAGCCCGTTTTCCACTAGGCGAATTTGTTCGCGCGAACAGTAAAAAAGTAGGAACTGATCCAACTTTTTCGCGGCGAATTTTTTCGCTGACCAATCACATTGCCAAGATTTGTTTTTCGCTTCGCGTCGCGCGAAAAAATTCGCCTAGTGGAGAACGGGCTTTAAAGTGAGGTAAATTAATTTTGATCCAGTCCAAGGACAGAATTAATTTTGATCCAGTGGATCAATATACTTCACCAGTGATTTAGTGGCGTGTCAGAGCATCAAGTTGCAAAACGTACAGTGACTGATTCAGTAATCAATATAGAGAGTTTAAGATCTACGAATCGGCAAGCCAACGACGCGTATTCAAAGCAAAGAAATTCTTCAAAAAATATGAACACTTTGTGATCCCAGGGGTATCCTCAGCAGAGTTGCCATTCTGGATACAACGTTAAACTAAGCATTATCACGTTAACTGTTATCAACCTTAGACGTTTGTAACGTTATTCAAGCTTCAAGCATTTATTGTTTACAGTAATCATTCTCCATTACCGCTCATTCTTCAGCTGAAATTGGGACACGTCGTTGAGTTTGCCGCGTCGTAGATCTTAAATTCTTTAATATACTAACTGTGACGACATCAGCAATGGTACCATTTAATTGATGTCACAATTTGATGCAACTAACGATAGTTAGTTGCATCAAATTGTGACATCATTGTGTTCTAATTTCATTGACATCACATATACTGCATGTAAGTCGCAATTGTTAAGGCGAAGTATAAAAAGTATTTCTAGCCTCTCATACAGTCATACTTACTTCAAATCAAATGGATTTGTAAACATAACTACATGTTTAACTTCACTTTCTGGCATGGATGATTCTTCGAGAGCTGTCTGAGGTGATTCTTTAGAATCACGAGTCTCATCAATTGGTCGTTGTGCGGTTTCAGTTTGTTTGACTGGTTCGTCAACATTTTTAGAGTTCGTTGTTGAAACTGACGCCGTCCCATCTTCTGTCAAGTCCAGCTTCTCGGCATTCCATAGTCCTGAGCCACAGCTACTGCTACCACTGCTAACGCAGCTACCCGGCGATTCACATCGCGATCTTCCCGTAACAACACGGAAGTTTGTTTCAACAGATAACAATTTTCGTTTTGCAGAACTTCTTAGAGAACGAGTTCTTGACTTGAGGGATTCTGGTGAGGAGAGGTGATCCCCTGAATCAAGGTTTGGGGGTGTGGAGGTGAGGGGTGGGGGCTGCGGTGAAAGTGAGGGGAGATTAGTGTCCGTCGACTTGCTGGATTTGGAACTCTGAGATGAACGCGAAGATCTGTCACTGAAGAATTTACGAATGCCTCGAAAACTGCGTCTACTACCAGCATTATTATTATTCACCTGAACTTCTTCTTCTGCCTGAAACAGATGTGATCGAATAATTTTAATTTCACTTCCAATTTTTATCACGCATTGTCACTTGAAATCTATTTATGAGAGGTGGAAGCTTCATGTTAAAATATTATTCGAACATGAATTGTTATTATTTCATATTATAATTTGTCAATTTTTTAAAAATTATTGAATTTTTAAAAACATTCCCCTGTCTGTATCTTTTCTTAAAGATTTTCTATATAATAACTATTAAATCTCATACAAGCGATCGTTTAAAAAGTAGATTATTTAGAACCGATATGAAAAGTCTTAAACGAGATCCAAAGGTACTGTCTGAAGGGGGATTAATTAGAGTATATTGAATATATTATAACATAACTGCTCAAATATATTAGGGAAGTTAAATAACTTCTTCAAAATTATCTGCTTGTAATTTGTCTGAAGGCCGAAGCTATCCTATACAGGCTATAGTATATGCTCTCGAAAGCCAAGTTAGCGGGGATATGTTATATCCCAGTAATCAGTATGTTCTTATTTTTTAGATCCGACTGCCAAGGTTAACCACATGCATATAATATTTCGTTCAAATTTTAGTCATAAAGTCGTAACTAACAACCGTTTTGCCAAGCGATTGATTTCGACACGAGGCCGAAATGGGTGTTTCACATCGATTCGCCAACACTTTTTTTAGCAGACAAAGGTCGACAGTTGTTAAAATGAATATACCTGGCAAGCGACATATACGTACCGGTGTGACTGTTATTCCGTCTTCCTCTGAAGGATTGAACACAGGATTTTTGATTGACGGGAGAAAACGTTTTCTTGCTCTATCGTTGCCGCCATTAGACTGTGGTGTGGCCATTGACTCAATTCAACGGCAAATCTACCGCCAAGAACGAACTCCATATAAATTTCGAAATGTTTTGAAAGACATGAGTTAGCCGGGCAGCTGCGTGTATGAGTAACCAAGGGAAACTGTTTATTCTTATGCTAGCTAGCAGGTGTTTTCACTCCCTAAATAATTTTTACAAATGTAGTAAATGACAGCTTTTAAGGCGATTTTACAGCGAAATTACCATATTCATAATTATGTACTGAAACTGTAGACGCCGGACAGCTTTTAAACAATAAAGAGTGATTAGTACGTCTATAATTTTAGAGATTTTGACGGTTTTATTGTTAGAATTTATAATAAAATTACAATAAATATCCAGCATACCGACATTTTGATCATTTTGCTCGCTATATCGTACAGACCTGTAAACCTATATGTAACATTAAATATCCTATTAAGCCCCCTATTAAGTCCCCCTTGCTTTACTTATTTTGCCAAAACGCAGTAAATACGAAATGCAGTAAAATGCCTGTGAATTACCAGACAGACTAATATATCTAATCAGTACTCGTGTGTTTTTGTCAGTTGGGGGTGGGCTTATAGAAAAATGAGTGGTTTAACAGTGGATTTAACCAATTGAAAAAATAGTAATAAAGTAGGATGCAATGCAACTTAATGGGTTAAACTATGATATATTACAATTCAGTAGCGTAGCCAGCCCGACTATTTGGTCCCGCTATGCAAATATTTCCATGTTCATTGACTGTGAAAACAATCAAATTCTAAAGAAATGAATAATGATAATAATTTTGAATTTGCATAGCGGGACTAAATTGTCGGGCTGGCTACGCCACTATTACAATTTCATTATAATCTATTACTATCTAAAAATTCATGTAATACTAACAAATAGATAAGATTTTGCCGTTGTCTATTCAGTTATAGATACACAGTATGACGCCGGAATGTGGGAAAAAGAAATAAGTAGCCACCTCCGAATTAAATAGGTATAAATAGCTTACTTTTTTATCCACCCAGAATTTGGAAATTTGAAAAAGTCGAAATTTTACAAATATCCCGTGTACATGATCTGTACAAATAAGGGAAAGCTATTGGCTACCTTAAGTCACGTCACCTGTGACGTAATTCCGTGCGTCTGTGATAGATCATGACTCTCGACCAATGAAAGCGCTTGAATTCTTAACGTTATTATATAAAATATGTTTATACAGGGTGTATAAAAAAACGCAACCTCGGAATTTCCCAAGAAATCGACACTGTTTTCAACCTCGTACCCAGGGCCTTTGCGTGGTTCAGAGGCTTCCCATACTTAGAGCCTAGTCCCTTGGTTGGAGCGCTGCATCGGAGTCGCGGGGCCGTGGGTTCGATTCCTACCAGAGGACCTTGTGCTGCATTTTTCGCAGTCGTTCCTGGTTAGGTCTTAAAATGTATATATTCTCACTTGGATTCCAAACTCTTACGGTACGCCTATTTCGCGTTTCTGGAGCCTCTGAACCGCGCAAAGGCCCTGGGTACGAGGTTACATTGTTTTAAGGACAAAAGATTTTAGGCGCCTGGGAATTAAAAATAGCACAACCGTCAAAATTACTGCACACGCGAGTACAGTACAACAACAGTAATATGATCTATTAGCAATTCGATTTCAATTCCCAGGGGCCTAAAATCTTTTATGCTTAAGAATTGCAAAGTGGATTTCTTAGGAAATTCCGAGGTTGCGTTTTTTTATACACCCTGTATAGCGATTTAATATGACCCAGAGGGCTAACAAAGTACCTGTGTCTACTGAGGTGCATAATTAATTGTGGTTTAAATTAACGGGTTAATTATACACTGAAATAGTTATTTATGGACTGACTTTGGTTAAAGTCTGCGATTCCGGTGCAGTGCTCCAACCAACTGAGCTAAGGCCAGTTGTCAAGCTCCAACCACAAGTTCATGTAATATACTAGGGTACTGCCATGTTATAGGTTATGGGTAAATATCAAGATTTTTGTGGCATCTCACTCGAAAGAATAATATTTGATGGGTACTGTAGTTGCACCATAATGCTGTTCATTTTACTCTGCATGGCTAACGCAAGACGATTTTGCTTATCAAGAGGAGAGTTCTGGCGGCACTCATAATCATGTTGGTTTAGACGTTTAGTGTCCATAAGTTTCTTATAATATTTAATTTTTTTTTTAATTAGATGCTGAAAAGCCCTTTTGGGAGAATGTAGTGATGTATTATATTTTAAACCCTTTAAGTGGCAATGCGCCCAGATGTGCCCTACTTTGTTATTTTACTCTGTCTAACGCCAGTTGATTTTACTGGATCATCAGGGGGCCGAGTGCTGCCACTCAATGGGTTAATGTAAACTTTATTTATTGATTATATCAACATATAATACAACTAAATTAATAAACCTCACTAGTTTATCAGTGTCTACTTAAACTAGCTGATGCTATATAGTATTATAATTATATATAATTATTAAAGATTATATTAATGGTTATATTATTCTGGTTTATTACATTTTTTGTTCAACTTCATTCCTAGACAGGAGGGAAAAGCCTGGGAACAAGGCTGTTAATTCTTTGAAACTTTGTTTTGCTTAGAAAATACGCAATACAATGTTTGTATGTGCATGTTCACAATTTTCTTTTTTATGCACTTGCTATATTTTTGTTTCATGATAATAATTATCAGACTAGTTTACTCTTCAATGGGAAAGTATAGACTGAGAAAGTTAATGGGTTACATAATTTGGTACTTTAATTATCCTTTTTCTCTCTCTTTTCTCTTCCCATGACATAAAACTCTTCATTTGGTCGGCAATTCATGAGGTGTGCCATCCTATTTGACAAAGCAAACAATGAGGCAACAGCACCAATGTCCCATGCATCTTCTTTACTTAATCCATTCGCTTCCAGTTCTTCAAAATCACTCTCCTTCACAGGTTCTGCTCTTCCCATCTTCATAGCAAACTTCAAAATAGCTTTCTCTCGATCAGATATTTCAGCACATTCCCAATTTGTTGCAGCCTGGTCAGCAATCAGAGGCTGCTTTGAGAAGATTCTGTGTATTGCTCCATGCGCTACTACGCAATATGTGCAGTTGTTGGCAGCACTTGTGGCAACTACAATCAGTTCTTTTTCAGCTTTGGTTAGACCACTCTCATTTGTCATAACAACATCGTAGTAGTGAAGAAATGCCCGGAGTTCCTCGGGTCTATGAGCCAGAGCTTTGAACACATTTGGAACAAAATTTGCCTAAAGTTGAGATTTTTAAAGACCATGTCAAGTCTGTCAAATCCTTTGTTAACATTTTGAACTGCTATATTTGTAAAATAAGATATACTAACTGAATATCTAACACTTTTCTGGTTTGCAATTGTAAATGAATATAAACTAGAGCATGTTTCAATTCAAAAAAGTTCAAAAGATGCAAAATTTGGGCAATGTTTATATCTGTGGGTCCCCCTTTGTTATGAGCAGAACTGATCTGCAGAACAGACTTGACAATGGGCTATTACATTAAAAAACCAAACCCCCCTGTCGAGGACCTCTGCTTTTGGGGATTTTACTCCTCTGGATTGCAAAAAAATCTGTGTAATTGACCCCTCTGGAAGAGACTTGAACCCCCTCTGGAAGTGCATTTTTGCTTTTTAACCCCTCTGGAAAGAGCATTTTTCTTCCATATTTCCCAATTACCCCTCTGGAAAAAATTACTAATTTCCCCCTTGGAAAATGAGGTCCTCCGAGAAAGGCAGGGCATTAAATGTAATAGCCCAATAATTGGTCTTTAACTCTTTAAGATTATTATTTTTCGTTTCAACAAGATCATCTAACCAAGGAGAAATCATGAAAGACTAGCTTCCAATGAAAAGGTTGGACTGATACTTAAATACCGTAAACCTTTGACATGGGGAGGGGGGCTTATATATGGGGGGGGGGGCACGGACAAAATTTTATGTTAGAAATAATATTTATTATCCCCACAAAATTATACCGTGAACTAGCCTGTCTACGCTGCAAATAAATATTTGACTTGACAGGACATTTGTCCGATCACTTTTAATTTTGGTCGGACATAACTTGAATTTGGTCGGACAAAAACCAACAGCACTAAATTTGGTCAGACACAGTACAGTATACGTCACAAGATATATATAAGTCACGAGAAAAGTATGTATAGCCATTCCGATGCAACGTTAAGTTAAATGCTAGAATGCCTCATAAATATTATTGCAAAATGCAAATTGAGTGAATTTGCAATCGGATTTTGTGACAGCAAAAAAATGTATGTGACAATTTTTCTTTTGTGATCGGACCAATGTCGGATCAAAATTACTTTTGCTCGGACATTTGCCAAATTTAGTCGGACATTGTCCGATGTCGGACAGTAATTTGCAGCCCTGACGCTGTATGTATTATTTATATGTACTATCAAGTTCATAGTTCATACCTTCTCCTCAGTTTCGTTCATAACTTGTTGTATATCTTCAGGAAGACTGCTTCTCTCTGGCACAGGAAAACGACTGATTGTTGACATGTCTCGGGTCTTTGGCCCAATTCTAGCCGTAAGGTGACGCATATTTGTGAAATTGAACATTCTTTTAGCTGCAAACAGCGTTCGTATGGACGACATAATTCAGGCTTTGATAGTATATTACCATCTATGTATATTACCTATTTACCTTAGCTTTTACTGTAATATCTGGCTTTAGTACTTAGTAGTGATGTGAGGTGACGGCGCATTTACGTTACGGGGTGGTGGGGGAAAGGTGGGCCAACAACGGCAAAAAGTGGGTCAAAAATAGGGTTCGAGCATGCATACATTTATATACTCCCGAGCACATTTCCGACACCTTAATATAACCAGAAAAGAAATAAAAATACAATTTACTTGTGCTTTGTGCAACAAATTCTAATTGCCCAAATTAATAAATTATCGCTCCAGATTATCACTGATCTCAACTGTCGTCAAACTGCTCCCGAAAATATTTGCTGGACATTTGTGGCGGTGAACACGACACGGGCGCCATATTGGATGCTGTAATCACCTTGGTAATCAAAAAAGCGTAGCTTCGTTTCTTTTATACGGCAAAAAATGGTAAGAAACTTTCTTCAGTCTTTTATTATACTAATTTTTATCACTAATAACACTGGCTAATTTTTCTCAACAGGGGCTGCTTGCTCTGTTAAAGAAATTAAAAAGTTCCCCCTCGAAAGAGCTACGAATTTTGCTACTTGGTCTTGATAACGCTGGCAAAACAACTTTGCTAAAGCATTTGGCGTCGGAAGATTACACAAATGTTACCCCCACTCAGGTACTGATGCAGTAGCACTCGTCTAGTAAAGTTTTCTAGAGTTATAATTTTTTAGCTGTTTTTTTTTTAATTGTTTACTTGATAATCTGTAGGGTTTTAACATCAAAACAGTTCAGGCAAAAGGTCTGCGCTTGAACATCTGGGACATAGGAGGTTTGTTTTTCAGTAATCTATTTTTCTTTAGCTGATTGATAGCCAATGAAGCATTCAGTTTATTTAATTTATAATGTTTTTAGAAGAGATTAATATTCCTAAATTTGTTAATTATTAACTTTAGGCCAGAAAAGCATCCGGGCATATTGGAATAACTATTTTGAGAATACAGATGTTTTGGTAAGGCTTAGCCATTAAGTCTATGTTCACACAGGGCTTGGTGAATTCTGAACTGTACTCAAATTTATCCGGTTCTATGTGTTCACACGAAACCGGATGAATTGTAGTCCCAGAAGTATTTACGTACGCGTACGCAGATGGTCTCAATCAGTCTCAATCCCACTCTTCTGCCACACAAAATGGTCTTGAAAAATACCGGTTCTGCTGTTCACATGGAGCCATCTAATTTAGGTAGATAAATCCATTCTGGTACAAAACAAGACCTAGTTTTGTTTGGTCTAGAATTTGCATGGTTAACTGTGCTGGAATTCATCCGGTTTCACATGTTCCATGTGAAAGCAAGGCTAAATAACCCCTAGGTAGTATTAAGTAAGTAAGTGATTCGTAAGACTTGTGCAATCAATGGAATATTTACGAGTGTTAAGATGTTTGCCTTCATAAAAATTATGTAGATCTATGTGATTGACAGTGCTGACCGAAAAAGAATGGAAGAAACTGGTTTTGTAAGTATGAAATTATCATTATGAGGGCACCTGCTGGCCTAACAACAGCTTTCCCTGGCAAACATAACGGTCATAAGATATAGGCCTAGAAAATATGTTTCTCTTCCTGGTTTGCAAGACCCAAAAATAAAAATTTCCTGTGTAAGTCGTATACAAAACTTATTGCAATCTTAGGTAGATTTCAGAGAGTATATGGTGCCGCCACATTGTGATCAATCTCAGTACAATCTCTGTCTCATTCTTCAACAAGATAACTGCAAGATTTAAGATGGCAAATAACTACTGACAGTACATAAATCAGTTTTACAAGACAGTACAGCCTTTTTTGCCAAATAACCAGGTTATAAAGTAGACCAGGTTGAGGAACAACTCGGTGACGGCAGTAAACCTCGTAGCACACCCGGCGGCTTATTTTGAAAGCCCTGAAGTCCATAAGAGTTTGTCTTTTCTAGGAACTAACTGAATTACTAGAAGAAGAAAAGTTAGCAGGAGTTCCTGTTTTAATATTTGCAAACAAACAAGATTTACTGACTGCTGCACCACCAGCTGAGGTGAAAACCACTATACGCACTAGAGAGGATCAGATTTCACTTCCACTACACACATAAAAATCTCACAACTTGTCAACAAGATGTGTTTGCAACAGGCTTGTAGCAAGCTTGTCAACAAGTTGTGACAACGCTGTTATTTTATCAAGTTGCTACAAGGTTGTCACTCACAACTTGTTGACAAATTGTTGAATTGCAGGACGATAACAAGTTGTTGGAACAACTTGTAACAAGTCTGTTGAGCTCAACAACCTTGTAGCAAGTTGTCAACAAGCCGTAACTGACAACTTGTTAACAAGCTGGGAACAAGCAGTGCGAACACATCCTGTTGACAAGTTGTCGAAACAGCATTGCTACAAGTCTGCTGCAGGTTTGTTACAACTTGTGAGTTTTTATGTGTGTACCATTAGGGGAGCATTAACCAATCATATGTGTTTATATAATATATAACTACAGTGAGACACGCAATTTGGTTGGTCAATAGCCGTGCAGGATCAGGCTATCCTGCACGACAGCACGAGGAATTAAAATGGCTTCGTGAGATTTTCGCGGGATTCTCAAAATATCATTGTTTCACTGTAGTTATTTTATAAAACAATTACCAAATGGTTTTCCAAGCAGGATAGCGTGATCCATGCACTTGGGATGTTGCTTGACTTTTGGAAAGCGTAAAAATACACTCGCCTCAACTCTGAACCCCTTTACTGTTTTTATTACAGCTAAATACCAGTCTCCTCCGCAGAGGCTTCATGTTTTGTTTTGGGGGTTTTCGCAAGCAGGATGGTTGCGGGCCTATAATTTCCCCCTAGCCTGCATAACCTGCAACTATTCCACCTGCGAAAAAACCACTGGAAGGAAAGAAAAAAACCCAAAACAAAACAAAGCCTCTGTGGAGGAGAGTGACTAAATACAGTAGTTGAGGCATTCATTGAAGTGCTATAATTTTATATTAGTTGGCAAAGCTGGTATATTAAATTGAAAAGAAACAGCTGCAGTGTGCAGGATTCAGGGTTGACATTAGCCAACGAGATGGAGATAGTCTTCGAGGAGATTATCAGTCTGTCATCTCTATTCAAAGCAATGACAACAATTGACCATTTGCGTAATAGACTAAATTTTGATCTAAACAAGTCTAGACACAACTTGGAAGAGCATCCAAAGTTTCGTTGCGAAATGTTGTAAAATGCGGAAAATATAGCCTTGCGAAGTTTGCAATTTTCAGTCATTTTAGATTACAAACGGGAAATTGACAGCCCCAAAGGGTATTGGGCTGTCAATTTCCCGTTTGTAATGTAAAATGACTGAAAATTGCAAACTTCGCAAGGCTATATTTTCCGCATTTTACAACATTTCGCAACGAAACTTGGAATATTACTAATTTTGTGATGCTCTTTCAAGCTGTGATGAAATTTTTGTTGAGATCAAAATTTAGTCTATTACGCAAGTGGTCAATTGGCAAGTCAGTACCAATAAAATTTGAGCTCCATGCATTTTTTCTATTTCAGATTGCTGGGTCATTACAGCTGTCAACTGTTATTCGAGACAGGACTTGGAACATACAACCTTGTTCAGCCGTAACAGGAGAAGGGGTTGAGGTCAGCGGTCTTTTGTTTTAGATACAGGGCCATAGCTGATGATGATGACGACATATGTGCAACCAATCCGTTTGAGGCCCTATCACTGATCTGAATAATACATTCTCAATGTATTATTCAGATCAGTGGGCCCTGTATAGGCCGAGAATTTCTAGGGTCCAGTTTCCCCTGGAAAAATTTAAAGATTTGAAGGACTCTGGGACGCTATTTCTTGCATTCCGAGACCACTCTGGTCCGGAGATAATATTTAAAATTGCATACACTTGTCGCCTAAAATGCGCCTTTTCGTCGATATTTGCGCAAACCTTGCTCTTCAATCAATCTATTTTATTAGCTAGGAAATCGTATAATCAAATACTCACTAAATCACATCTTCGCTTTTTCACACAATTCAAAGACTTTTCAAATACCTTAAAGACTTTCAAGGATTTCAGAGACCGCTACGAGCCCAGTTAAAGGTTCCACGTGGTTCGCATGATTGCCCTACAGGGGCTGGTTCTTCAAACCACGATTAGCGCTAACCGTGGATTAAAATTTAACCCATTGTCTTGGTTTATGTATTTCTGCACGTCTGTTTATTTCATAACTTTGTAAAATTAAACTTCTGATGATCGAGACAAGATTTCTGAAAAAAATATTTCAAGGTTTATACACATGTTGTCAGGAAGTATGCTTTGAATCTCAGGTTAACCCAGGATTAAGCTAACCGGCGTTTGAATACCTGGGGCCAGTTGTTCAAAGCTGGGTTAGTTTAACCCTAGGTTAACCAGAAATTCTTCATAAGCATACTCCCTGACAGCTTGTCTATAAATTTGGAAATATTTCTTCAGAGATCTTGTCTGGATCGATTGGAGTTTTCTTCTTTGAAGTTTTGAAATAAACAGACGTGCAGGTTAAATTTTAACCCAGGGTTAGGGCTAACCCACCTTTGAACAACCGGCCCCTGATGAGTAAAATCGTAAAACATCGAGCTGTATGTGCAATCTTTCATCAACATCGTATTTATTTTTTTTCCGTTTTAGGAGGGCTTAGAATTTGTATCAAAGACGTTAAAAGATGTTAAAAAATGAAAACGATATACAAGAGGGATCCCTATTTTGAAAATAATTCACCCAAATCTCATGTTATCCAATTATCATGAGATCTACACGTGCGCTAAACTGGCAAAAGTGTACCGTCATTTGCAAGCTAAAACAACGTCGATGACAAAACATTTAATGTATTAATTATGTAAACTATGAATTTTAACAAGCATACCCTAGGATATTTTGTTGTGTATAAAAGCTAATTATTAAATTTAAATGTAATTATTAAGATAGTGAGTCTTAAATTTAAAAGTTGAACTAAAAATATGTCAATTAACCTCCCCATACATAGAAATTATAAATAACACTAGAGGAGGCATCGAGATTAAAATTTGGGAACGCGGCTAATGGGGGGCAAATTTAGGTCCCGGATATAAAATCATGCTCTCATTGGCTAAATTGAAACTCCTCACCAATAGAAACATGAGTGCACATCCGGGACTTGAATTTGCCCCCCAATAGCCGCATTCCTTTTTTTTGCCTGATGTCAAGATTGCGATACCTCCTCTAGTGTTATTTATAATCTCTATGGGCCCATATCTATCCGCCATTTTGAGGGTACTACAGTCGAGTTTCTCGGTTAACCGAGTCAAGTCCGAGTAACTGTTTAGAGGTCTTTATAGTTCAATGACTTCGTACCCTACTCCTAGTCGATTGTGAATTTTATTTAACTTTGTCTTTTTTTACGTGACTCGGACGTTTAACTCGGAATTTACTTGGTAAATGGATTTACTCTCTTTGGAGTCTTCCAAAGTCGTCACTGCACATAAAGTAAAGTCGCATTTCGGTGCTCACTCTCTCAGAACTTGGGAGAGGCAGTACCCCCAAATGGTGGATACGCCCACTTGAAAAAGGCTAATTAACAAAACTTTGTCTATAGAGTATAGTATCACCATGACTGTTCTTAATTCTCAAATGTCCAAGTAAATACCATGCCTTTTAACAGAACTCAACAGTTTATTATTAACAATTTACTAACTGTAAATTTACATTATACATGCACACGGGTTCTTTGCTAGGAGGCCGTGTTACAACGGCCAAAACTGAAAAAAAAAACACGGTAAAATAAAAAAGAACGCGGCTTGATTATTTATATAAAACCCTGCAGGTTCATAAAATAGATTGTTGCCACTTACAACTGACATAATTTGCTTCTATTTCGTAAGAAAGCGTGTAAAATCTAGTTTGTGGAAATTGGCAATTCCGTGATACTTTTATGTTAGTATGTGCATGTGTACATAGCTTTAATCTTTAAATGTCCTAAGAGTCTCTATAATAAGTCATTGTAATGTCAAGATGACACACTGTGTGAGAATATGTCGACCTTGTATTTGGTCGTGTCACATAGAACAACCACAGCATAGTTTATTGCTGGCAACACGGTTAACCCATTGAGCCGCAATGCGCCCCACTTTTTTTTTACTTGCCCAACACCAGACGATTTTACTCGTCAATGGGGAAGCTCTGCAGATTAATGGTTAACCAAGAAATCTGACAATGTCTCTAGTTAACCCATTTAGCCCCAGTGCGCCCTACTTTTTTTTGCTTGTCCAACACCAGACGATTTTACTCGTCAATGGGGAAGCTCTGCAGCTTAATGGGTTAATAGACCTAGGTCTATTAACCGTGCTGGCAACTGAAACTGTGCATTTGGGTATTCTGGTAATTGGCTGGTACACGCCCTGAAATTTGAAAATTTACAATTTGAAAATTTAAATCCTCTGTACACACAAGTACAGTTATAAAAATGAAGGGAGCGCCAGTACCCCCAAAATGACGAATAAACCGAGGGAAGGCTAACTCTAACTCTTTGTGTACTTTGTTATTCTCAAGTAAATTACAATTATGGTTATTATGAATTTTATTCACATTTCGGTAGTACAATAAAATTATTATATTACATCATTTTACTGCTAAATTTATATTTTATATTGACATTCTTCCATTTGTTTCTCACAATCTAGCTTAGCCTGCGTTCCCTGTGCCTGCACTAAAATACTGTCAAAATTACATCTTTAAGCACAACGCATCGGTGGCCCTGGTAGTTCCATTGCTCTAGACGATTTCTCACTTGGGGTAAGGTTTGGCGAGGCATCGCTTTCTGTCTTCAGTAGATATTTGCAATCACGGCTTGTACGAAATCGGAGGTACTTGCACTGCCTCCCATGTCCATCGTTAAACACTGAAAAATTATCATAACACATATATCAGGATTCACGGTCTCTAGACTTTTACAAATAAGACCATTTTTAGTAGTTCAATTCGGTGGTTCAACTTTCATGGCGTGCAGGCGAGGGCAAAAGCAGATTGGACACTGTCAAGCTGGACAGTAGCCCTAGGACATTGAAACGAGTGGACGTCTGAAATTCAGGCTAGCTGGACAGCTACAGCGCATGTTCAAAAATGTTCGCTCGTCCTGTGCGGGGACGGCGACCGAAATGGCAAATGACCTTTACGCATCTTGAAAAGCTAGCAAAAGTTTCAAAGTTCAAATCATATAGTTTTCCCATCCAGTACATAGTGACAGCTTAGATTATATTACCGACAATCCAGGTTGAAGATGTTGGCATGCAATGCATCTTACAAGATCGCACATAATCTTCGAAGATCTTATCTTATCGAAGTTTGGCTCCGGTTGAGATGTGTACATATTGGATAAGATGTATACTAATTTATACTTTGTTAAACCATTGAAATTTACCTTTCCAGTACTAATAGTTCTTTCAACAGCAGAGCGCACAGTTCTTGCGTGAACTTTTAGGCTGCAAGATAACAACATGTGATTTATCAAAACCTCTCAAATCTTCACAGTGCACTGAAGGCATATTTAATTAACTAGTACAGCATGTTGCTGATGTTTGTCCAACCACTATGGTCCAAATACAACAATGCAACATTGTTGGTACGTAATGTTGGCTCCAGGGAAGGATTCCCTGGCTGTATCAACTCCATTTTTGGATTTAGAAAGGCAATTGCGAAAACAAAAATACATAAAGACAAAATGAGATTAGTAGCATGATTCAGATGATTGTGAAATTGTCAAGGCAGTCGAGCAAAAGACAACATACAGTACTACTGCCTTGTTGCCGTAGTTCCTTCCACTGCGCACTTGGTCAACGGTCTCAATCTAAACCATGACCAAAGTTCGACGAGCACTTCCCCTCCTCCGAGATCTAGCTTGATCGATCCCTGGTCGAATCAAGTTTGAATTCAAAATTTTCATCGGACATTGTTGGTCTAACAACTTATCTTCTGACTTTTCCTTCAGCTATGCCTTCCCTGAAAGGCGAGAAACTTTTACTCCGAAATCTCAATACAGTATATGAACATACTTGATGTGATCCAACATATCCGCGCCTGAAAGTAACATAGCTGTAGGATTGGCCACATTTCTTCCCGCCATTTGAGCGTATGTATGTCTTGCACCCTTGAAAGAAAACATAAACAATTCTAAAGTGTTTTCCCCAGAGATCCAGTAAGGGTCATTCCTTTTGGTGCAGTCTTACTATAGGAGGAAAGCATTTACGCCCACTAAAGGTAAAGAAAAGTGTGTAAGGTAATCAGGTATAGTGCAAGAATTCAAGGACATTTTGGAAACTAATTTACTTTATCCAAAGACTCAGCTGATACTCACCGGTTCAAAAATAGCGAACTGACTGCCAATACTCTTGCCCGGGACAACTCCTGCACCGCCAACTAGTCCGGCAGCAACATTACCAATAATATTGCCGTAAAGGTTAGGAACAACAAGAACATCAAACTGTTGAGGGTTGGAAACCATCTAAAGTAAAACGTACATTCCCGTAAAGAACTATATCCTAATGAGTACCCTAAATCACGTACTGTAGTTACTCTGTCTAATGAATGATGATGCGGAGTGTCAACACACTCCACCAGGGCGCTTATATATATAAGCGCCCTGCACTCCACAGCTGAAAAATCGTAGAAATGTGTAAACGAAGCGTGGGAAGAAATAGCTATTACCACCAGTAACATACTTGCATGCAGGCATTGTCAACAATCATTCCTTGAAACTGAATTTTTGGGTAAAGTTTTGATACTTCTTCGCATGTGTTCAGAAACATCCCATCAGCAAGTTTCCTGTAAAATACAATAACGCATAATGCAGCATCTTTAAAATATCGTATACAATGAAAAAATCTATTTGGGTATGTTGTATAAAGTCCGGATACATTATCCACTGGATAAGTGAATTTTTCAAGCTTTCTAGAACTGCCCGTTGATTGGTATAAACAGATTGGTATAAAAACTGTAGTATTTATAAATTAAAGTTTGTTTTTGGTAATTGCGAGATCTGAGTCCATAGTTTTATAGCTTTTGAAGCATAGTTGGTATAACCAGGTACAGGGGTCGTTAACATTTTTGCGTGTCTGCGACCGCAAAGATTATTTGAAACTGTGCCTGCAAAATGTCTTTATATGCATGCAAAATCACGACGTGATGAGCCATCAGCCATGAATTACTATAGATGCCGATTAGTAGGCTGGCTCATGAGATAGCTTTATATATTTTTGGCCCACGAAATCGAGAATTTTAAGCGCAGACTCACAATCATGCATGTGCACCGTACACTGGTAGTTGTCCTCTAGACAATTTTAACTTGTCAGTGTCCCTATTAACAAAGATTTTAATAGACTAATAGTAACAGATAGTAAAATACATAATAAAATAAGAATTATAAAATTTATTTTATGACTTCTGATTTCAAAAATTTTTAAAAAAAAATGTGCCTGCAAGAAAGTTGTTTCTGAAATGTGCCTGCGACCATCGATCCCAGCGGTCCCCACTTTAATGGCCCCTGACCAGGTACATATAACCCAGATTATGTTTACTGCCTACACTCATTGTGGGGTCCACATCCGTTATTCCGTAGCTTCAAACTCAACTTTTATAGACGTACATAATGTTAGCTTTGTGTATAGCTGTAACTTTCTTTCTTCCCTGCATCGTTGCGTAGTCAAAGGCAAATTTAGCAATTCTTTCCGATTTTTTTCTTGTGATCACTTTGATCATTTCCACAACGCCAGGAACCGTCTGTTTTTAATAAAGAGGAGTAAACAAAAAGTCTTAGTTACTGGACTCTGTATAGTAATTTGCAACAGTTATTTACGAGAACAAGGCAATCAACATTGTACTTGTGTCTCAATTTGAATGTTTTCCAAATTAATGAGTCGTTAGTCATTTAGTTATTTAATCTTTCTGCTGAAGACAGTGGCGGCGCCAGGCTTCCAAATTTGGGAGGGCATTTGAGGGGCAAACTCAAATTTGGGGGGGGGGCAAGATAGAATTTTTAGAAAGGTCGCCCCCCAGGAAATTCCCCCCCCCCCTCAAAACGTGGCAATATTCCTAGGAATATCGCCCCCGGGGGCGAATATCCTAGGAATATCGCCTCCCAGGGGGTGGGGCGAATACCATAGGTATATCGCCCCTCTTTAGGACATTCGCCCCCCATATATGCAATGTGGTTTATTCAAATAATTTCGTGATACTTTCATCTTATTATTGCCTTGCACGTTTGAGAATTTAACTCTGCAAAACTAAAGCTTTTTTGTCTTTT